ATTGACTTTTAACAATTTCTGCTCCAAATAACCCCCATGTTCACATTATTGTTATTATGCCGTTTCACAGTGACAAACCTGAGCCAGCTTACCTGCTGTGGCTCATCTTTTATCACACCGGTCTTCCCCAGCAGGATGCGGCTCTTTTTGATTGCCGTTTCCTTCTTATTCTCCTTTGATGGGGAATGAGAAGTCATCTCCTCTTTTTCATTAGGTATTTCTACAAGAGACAGTAAGATGTCAATTTTGAAGAAAAGCAAAAAAAAGACATGCATGTGAAGACCAACACACAATGGGAATTTTAAATTTACCTAGGATGATATTTTCATCATTGGGATCCAGAGTAAGAACAGGTGGCATGAGCATGCGGTCCATCTCCTGGTCATCCCAGATGATGTTATCTTCCCAGCGTCCATAAACCAACTCCTCATTGTCAATGGGGAAAATGGAGAACCAGGGAGAGTCTTCTTCATGAGAGGCTGCACAACAAATGAAGAGAATGCAGAGAACGAGAAATTAGTAAAGATTAAAAAAGTGCTGGTTCCTAGATGAATCCATCATGTGTGTCTGTACCTAGAAAATTCACTCACCTTGATGATCATGGTTGTTTTTGTCTCTCTTTGGGCCGGAGATTGAAGAAGCTTTGGGCATAGGTGGAGGTGTGGGTGGCACAAGCTGGGAATTACTTCTTGTCAGACCTGTAAAAGATTGGTCTTCTTTCACACACATGAATTTTTACAAGCTGCTCCAATACAATTCAAATACAATAGTACACTTTCAAATGTAGTTATTTTAGGTATTTTTTGCCTCTTTTTTTAAGTATGAGGATTGCATCACAAGACTCATTTCAAATTATATACGCATGTCTTTTTTTTCTTACCTTGCTGTGCATTGTAAGCATTAGCATTTCGGGTCATGCTAGAGGGGAGCCATCCAGCCAGGCTAGCTCTCTGAGTCTTGGTGCCCTTGTGTTTCACTTCCTCTCCATTCCAAATAATATCGTCCTCCCATTGCAGCTGAGTGACCATCAGGAAGAGCTCGTTCTCAAGGGTTTTTCCATCCTTTTCTCCATTTTCACAGTCACTGTCGTCATTACCATCGTCTTCTTGCCTCAGAAACTACAGAAGAATTATACAAAACATCAGAAACACAATGAAAATATGTATCCTGTTATTTCTACGGATGTCCAGGTCTGCATACCTCATGTGGGGTCTCTGTGATTTCTTTAGGCTCGTCCTGCCTCGGAGAGTCACTGGACTCCTCTTTTAGCTTGAACCCGTAGTTGAAGTTGCTTCCGTCCTCAGAGACGCCCAGCATGTCATACCAAAGCTGGGCTGGACCGTATCGCCATTCTGCAACTCTCGGTCGAGACTCTGCCTCTTTGTCCCCATCACCGCAAATCTGAGAGAATTTAGATTCAACCGGAGCCATCATGGTAATCTGGACAGAAAAGAAAAGCATGTTAAGAGCTGAAGACGATGACATATTGCCAGACTACTACAGTCTGACATTATGGGAGACTAAACTAGTTCTTAATAATGAAGCATCTACCTCATCATCAGAGAGACACTGCTCTGGAGGTGGAGGAAGTGAATACTCATAAATCCATCCTGACTTCTTCTCCTGGCTCTGTTCTGTAGGCTCTCCTTCTGGAGGAGGGGTCCCAGGCTGAGGGTCTCTGTGCTTCCTTTTCTTCTTCCTGCGGGCACTCCTCCAAACTGAGGGCATGTTTTTTCCAGGACCAAACAGTCGCAAGAACCTGAGTACCTGGTAGTACATTCAAGACAGGGGTGTAAGTGCAGTCCTTGTTTTAAAATGGTGATAAAGTAAAACTCTTGACATGTAAAAAAAAAAAAAAAAAAAGGTGCTTTACCCTTCCGGGCCTGAACTCTGGAAAGAGCTCTGTGACACCTGGCAGTGCTTTGGCTGCATCTTTCTGCATGATGCCAGCAAGAGGGAGGGTGAGTCTATCTGGGGGGCCGGGTCCGATGCCTTCACAGGGACGGTCAGTTTCTGACTCTGAGTCTGAGGAGCTGCTGAAGTCAACCTTATCAGCCGTAGAGGATGGTGCGATGATGGAGGGCAGGATAATGCCATCACCCTCTTCCCCAACTGTGAGGAGAGAAAAAGACAGCAATAGCAGAGACAATCTAACCTCATTATCTAATACAGGTGATCAGAATTACTAATTTAACCAGAGTTGATATTGAGTTGAATTTATGATTCACTGAAGTTTCTGTTTCTCTACATAGACTAGTCACAAGTAAACTTGTCCTAACCATTTGTACTCGGAGCTGAGGGTTCCTCTTTCTTAGCTGCTGTAGGAAGACTTGGTGGCGGTGGAGGGGGCATGAGTTTAGAATCGATGTCCTCGCAGTCAGCATCATAGTCATCATCATCATCTACAATATAAAAATGTTCAATTAGAATGATTTAAATATAAACCCAGCAACATTTATGACTACTTGGTAACATTAAACACCTATAATTCATGTGTAACTTTAATTGAGTGAAACATTAATAAAAACAAATCTGCCTCTTAGAAGCTGTAAGTTGATTACCTGTTTTCCTGCTTGGCTGCAAAGTGCCCATGGCCTGACGATACTTCTTAGTCTCATCTTCAGCAACCTCACTGATATCAGAATAATCAACTGCATCTTCCGTGCTTTTCACCCAACCTGCATTAAAAGGCAAATATTATTTCATTTTGTTCCATCTTATTTCTGGCTCAATTAATGCAAATGTAACTTTCACGTGTAATCTGACCATCTGCATCCACATTCCCAGACTCTTTGCTGTCTTCTTGTTCCTCTTCATCATTGGCAGTGATCTCTGTAATGAGTGAACCCAGACCGAGAGAACCCAAACCAGCCAGATGCTTTTTGGACTCCTATGGTGCCAAAAAAAAAAAAAAAAAAACCAGCAGAAACAGAAATAAATGTAATAATAAGTGCTGAAAATTAAAGAGAAAACAACAACAAAAAACTTGAAATTCCTACAGCATTGTTCAATACATTTAACAATCTTGTTTTGCAAAATAGAAGTGATGATACTGAAATGTATTTCTACATCTATTATAGAAAAGTATGTAAGACACACACATTGTCCAGGACACTGTCATCCTCCAGTTGTCCATCTTCGTTGATGTTTCCGAAGAGGAAGCCGGTTATGGAGAAAGGACGATCCTGGTCCTCATCACTGTCTGAGTCCGACATCCTTAAAGAGAAACGATTAAAGTTTAAGCATTTTGTCTCTGCTCCTGATACTGAGTGACAAGCACAATGAAGGATCACCATCAATCAATCAATCAATCAAAATTTATATAGCACCTTTCAGACAAATTAAATTGCAGTTCAAAGTGCTTAACAAGAGTGCAGAAAAGTTATTGACGAAAAGCAGTTTATAAAATCATTGAGAGACCAAAGCACACCAATAAGAATTAAACATAAAATATATGTATGAAAATAAAATACGACACATAAAAGCAACAAGATATTAAAATAAATACATAAGAGGAAAATATTTAAAATTGTAGTAGGATTAAAAAGACAATACAGTAATGTTAAGATTTGAATTGATATAAAACACTATATAAAAGCCAGACTGAATAAATGAGTTTTAAGACTGCGTCTCATGTCTGAGTGATGCAGCTCTTCTTATTATCAAAACATAGAAGCCTTACTTCAGTTATCTTGCGTTAAAACCTGTTGAGATTAATGTTACGCAATGTCTTGACATCTCCTTAGTGTATGCACTCACACTGCGTCCATCAATGACCGTCGTATTGATCAGTGAAGGATGTTCAGGCTTCTCTTGATGAACATTATGAGCTGGTTGCGTCGGCTAACGTGAGCTAACTCGCTAACGCGTGTAAACAAAGTCAGGACTGTCAGAGGTGAAACTTTAAACGTACCTTTTGTAGTCACCTAACTTCCGATTAGGTCAGCTTTAGTTGAAGCCAGCTTTCCGTTTCCTCTGAATGATAATAATTAATGCAATTCAATCACAATCAGTCATGCAAAATAAGCTAAGTTAGCTTACCTCTGCAAGACAAACTAACTTGTTATACGATACTTTAAATTGCTTAAATAACTGTTCTTTGACTGCAACAGCTCGATGAGCTCAAAATAAAACATCACAGAATTTTATTCAGCGCTTAGGTTTGGTTTAAACTTCTCTTTTTTATTATTATTATTTTTGTGCGGCTCCGCTGCGAACTGCAGCCAGCAGCACCACCGCCACCGCCAGCTAAGCTAGTGGAGTAGCATTAGCTAGTCTGGCAGATGCTAAATTACCCGGATGAGCAGAATGAGGCGTTCAGTTTCTCCTTCGAAAGTGGGAAACTTTAGCTTTAACAAAAGAAGCAAAATGAGTCGATGTGCTGTACAACATCGTGCGCCAAAACTTTTCTAAAGGAAATTCTCAATTATGAACTAAATACTTGTGAATATATGCCCAAATTTGTCCCTTCCTTGAAATACAATGTAATGTTATGCAGCTAGTTTATATTCAATATCTTATGAATGATCACTAGACTTTATTTCTCCAGTTGAAGGACGGACAGTTTAGTCGCATCTGTTAGGACAAATCACACCAAAATATGTTCCTATTTACTCTTCAATGATAACAATTGTTTTACATTGTTTCTAGGCACAACTCACCGGATATTACATATAACAAATATGACAAGTAGCAATAGAACTGAAGATCAACAAAGGGAGTTCATATCAGTGTGAGGGGTTGGATTGCCATTGCACCCTTGTTTACTGAGCTCGTTTTCTCCAGGGTTTGAGAATCTTATATTTCAGCTTTGTCACCTCATAACTACGGCTAAAAAAAAAATTACAGAATGAATTACTCCTAGTTCTTTACTAATCAAAATTGGCAATGGTTTAAAACCTGTCAAGATTTACGCTATGGTATTATAACTTTAGAGGTCCAAAAAGATCTTAATCTGAGAAGTTTGTCATTTGAAACAAGAAGAAAAAAACACCAAACAATAACAGTTTAGCCAGTTTTAATAGTTTTAAAACAGTTGGTTTGGAAAAAAGTACAAAAGTGATCCTGGACGCCACAGTATGAAACCAGCCCAATTATGCAAGGTGAAAGGTGTGTTCCTTTAAAAAGCATCTTCTACAGACATGTTAATTTCAACTGGCCTTACTATACACATACTGTACTCACTAAAACAGATACAAGCAACAGTTTAAATACAACGGCTGACCCCAGAAATACATTTACAAGTGATTCTTAGAAAACTAATATAAAGGGAGGGATAAAATAAGTCCGACCACAATGCCAACCCGTGTCTGGCAGTAAAATCATGCAGTATTACAAACGTTCCACTTAAGAGAAACAGCAAATCACTACAGCTGTCACAGTGAGAGAGAGGGCAGCCAAGAGGCGTCACTCTATCAGACAGCCTGTCAAAGTGTTCATTGGTTGATTTATGAGTTGTTACTGAGAGAGTTAGGAGTTCTCTCCTGTTGAGCAGCAGCTCAGTGGTCACCCTTCCCACATTTGCATACATTGTTAAGTTGCACAGGGTCTCCATTTAGGAGAACGTATCCCCCACAATCAATTTAGAAAAATAGAACTAATCCCTATTGAAGAAAACCCCCAAATGTGGGATATTCTCTTAGTATGTTGTGAGGAAATAAAAAAAGCTAAGAAATATAATTGAATAAATAAATTGCATGACATTCTTAAAAATTAAGTGGATACACAGAACAGAATAATATCCACATATGCACACCATGCTTTTTGTTTTGGCCCGGCAGTGTTAAAAACGAGGGCTCCATCCTCCATCCACAGGATAACAGCCTGTGGGAAAAAAATCGCTGTAAAAAATTTAAAATAAGTTGACATTTAGAGAAAGGTTTCTTTAGTTCAACATTTGTTTACCATGTACAACATGGTGTCTGGCTAGAATTTAGAAGTAACTGATGTCAATGGCAATGAGTAAACACAGGAGGGAGACTTTCAGTGTTACATGAAGCCGCTCTGTGTTGGTACCAGCTGGCCGGCCTATTGTTAGGGCAGCAGCAGAGAACTTCCTGTCCGGTCAAACTTCTTTCCCTTAGAGAGGGCCGCAACTTGTTTCATCAACTCCCTGTTCTTGGACTGTGGACAGAAAATAGAAACTTTGTAAGTATTTAGAAAAACTTTTAAGATACTTTTAAGATACTACTTTATTGATAATGGGTGGATTTACTCATTGTTCATCAGAGGCTACTAACAGAAATGGTTTGGCTCAACATGGACAACTTTCAATGTTTTTAAAGCCCCTTTGTAGCACAAACACAGTCAACCAAAAAGTCACACATACAACATAACAATAAAATGACCTAACGGTGACAATAATCGTATCCATAACAACAAGTTTTAAGCGACTCATTCATGTTTCATAATGGCTCTTATACGTTTCATTCTGGTTTTAAATCATAATTGCACTGAAACACACTTTTAAGAATGTTTAATGATCTGATCTTAATCGTCAACTTGGGAGACTCTGCTATTCTGGTACTTTAAGACTTAACAGCTGCCTCTGACACTGTCGAGCACTTGATCCTCTTGTCACTTATACAAAATTGTGTGGGGATCAAAAGGTGTTGAACTCAAGTGTTTTTCAGTCCTACTTGACAGATAAGAGCTTCTCTGTCCACCTGGGGGACTATTCCTTTGAGAAAGATGCATTTACATGTGGTGTCCCACAAGGTTCTGTTTAGGGCCCCCTCCTATTTTTTTATATTTGCTGCCCCTGGGGTCAGTTTTAAAAAAATATGTCACGGGACATCCCATTGTTGCAGACAAAGTGAATATCTATGTGCCCTTGAAAGTGAAAAGTAAGGGCTCACTATAGCCCTTACTCGATTGTCTGCAAGACATAATGACTTAAATTGTTTTGAATCTAAAACCCTTTTCACACATATGGAAATCTCCTGAAAAACCCTGGAGATTTGGTTACCCAGAGGTGCTTTAGGCTATGTGTGAACGCAAACAGCCGCATTTTTCACACAGACTTTACCCAGAGTTTCTCCGGCAAGACCCCTAGTATTTTATCCGCAGAATATCCGAGTGAGCTGATGTCTGAATGCGGCCGAATATACTCCGGAGATTTTCAGAATGACGTTTATATACAGTGACCAGTGTCTGCACGCGACCACTACAATCTCCGTGCACGTTATTTAAACGGCTGCATTATGTTTTCTGTTCGTCAGTATGTTGTTCTCCGCTCTTTTGTGGATGTTGTCATTCCATTAGATTACACATAGCATTGATATAAAGGCAAATATTCTCATTATAACGTTGTGTAGCAGACTCTGTTGCTTCGGCCGCTACTTCCGCGTTGTTTATTTACGTCACGTCTTACGTCGGGAAATCCCCCGTGGCCCCTCCCCTCTGACAGGGAAAGTCCCCCGTTGTGAGGAGCATATGTGAACGGCTAGTTCGGGAGAATCTCCGGAGAAGTCCTCCTGTAAATATCTAGATATTATCCGGAGTGCATATGTGAAAGCGACTTAAGCTGAAGACATTCTTCTCTTTGGCTTTCCCTTCATGATGAGAATGTTTTCGAAGTCCTACCTGCTGATGCTCCATTGACTCTTTGTGTGATTTCTCCATTTGGTTCATCTTGACTCTCATATTGGACTCCTGGTACTGAAAGTCAGCTTTAATCTCTGTGAGCTAGAGGGAGATAGTAACAGGTACATCAAGCATGTACAGGTACAATCAACAGTAATGCAACTTCGTGGAGACTAATGAACTACCTTTCGGTCCTTCTCCAGGATGGTCTGATCCCTTTGCTGCAGAAGTCTCTTCAGAGACATCACTTCCTCTTTCAGCTGGCTGATGAGAATGAAGTTGTCTGTTCCTCCAGAGTCCATCGACTGGGTGATGGAACTACTGATGGGAGAGAAGAAAGAACATGAGGCCATATGATTTTGGTAGTCAACAGCTGAGAGAGAAAAAATGACACCTTTCATACCTGTCCCCGTTGGATGGCTTCATCTCCAGTTTTGGTTTCTTCTTTGGAGTCTCCTTCTGGATTGAAGACGATTTATGGCTGCAAAGAACATTGACCATTAAAATTAGCAATTTGTGCTTTAAAACCTTAAACGGTAAATTGTTTTCTGATTAATAGTATGCTGTGAAAGGAAAAAGGTAAAGTGTTACCTCTGCTTCCACAGTCCCTGCTCCTGTTCAGGACTCAAGCTTCCACTCAGCCTGCAAATGACGAGTTACAATATTAGATTATGTTAACCTCCATTCTGCTCTTTACTCTATGTAAACAGTGATACAGCTGCATGAAAAAGACACAAATCTAACTGTTCTAACTGAGTGGAATCAGGACTGGACTGTGAGAAGTAACATAAAGGAGGACATACTTGTGATGAGAACTGCTGTGTCTGTGTTGGTGGTGGTGGTGGTGATGAGGTCTGGAGTGATGGTCTTTTTCGTTCAGGGATGAGGAGTTGGAGGAGCCAAAGCCCTTCCTCTGCTCCTTAGTCTTCTGCAGGACGCGGCGGTAGGACAGAGTACAAAGCCAGCACAGCAGTTTCCCGTCCACCTGTGACACAGGTAGGAGACAGTGTTTTTTTAAGACTTGCTGTGACATATTAGCTTACGAGTATGTCTGTGTGTGTGTGTGAATATACCTTTCTTCTTCCCTCCTCCTTGCGATCAAAGGCGCATTGTTGTTTGCATTGCTCACAGGTCTGTGGAGGTCCATATTTCTTCTCTGAGTTGGTACAACGCTGGCACTTTGTCCCAATAAAAGCGGCAATGATGTTACAGTACTGACAGGGTTTGGGCTGAATAGACAGACAAAGGACAAAGTTTAAAGTGTATCCACACATGATATTAAGCATTAAGCGGGGTGCTGGATAGCCTAGCAGTTATGTTGGACACTCAAATTTAAAGCGGCTTTAGTCCAAGAAGCAGGCAGGCCGGCTTCATCTCTGCCCCTTGGCACTTCACCGCATGTCATTCCCCACGCTCTCCTCCCTGTATCTGACTCAATCCACTGCCCTCCCTCTACAATAAAGCCATGGCAAGCCCGAAAAAAGAATAATTAAGTAAGTGCTACTTAAAAGTACTCAAGGAACAAACAGGAAAAACTTGTTACTCACTGTTCCAAACTGTTTGACGTTCTGGGCGCATTTCTTGCAGATTGTATTAGTTTTACTGTAAAGAAAAAGAAAGAAGTATTTTATTATGTAAACATAGAATTTTTATTTTTTTTGTCATATGTATCTGATTTTTATACTGGGTGCAAATATCCTACCTTTCCTGTTGAAACTCAGACCTGCAGTATGTGCACTTCACTATTGGATGTGCAATGCGACACTCCTATGGGGTCAAAACGAAGAAACGTCAGTGCTTTTATCAACATTTGTTGGCGAAAGGTTGACATGACATTCAATGAACACGTCAAAACACAACAGCTTCACATGTTGTTGCGTTAACCGGTACAACGCGGTGTTTGTTGTGTAACACATTTTGGCTACAACATCTGTGGAAATACCAACAACCGATTATATGGGTGTATACAAGAGGACGAGAATAGAACATCTTGTATCTGCTTTTGTTTAATAAAGACATTAACCTGGTAGGGTCAGGTAGTGTCGGAAAGAATAAATGTTATTAACACACAGCTGTAGTGGGGAATTCTTCAATAACAAAAAAAATCATCCAAGTGTAATTGTATTTAAGTGTTCTTCTATTGACAATGTGCTGTAACTATCCTGTGGACAAGTTGTCCTAATAGTCGGAAACAAGCGCTGAAATGCCTTGTACAGATTTACTACAACAATCACTTTAAAAACTGTGACTTAAGTGCAGACTGACAGTGATTGAAGGAAAGATGTAAACAGAAGTCTTTGTCAGAGGCTCCAAAATATGTCCTTCTCACTGAATTTAAATGTCTACGAGAGCAACAAGTTAAGTAACTAGAACATAAAACTGTAATTATTTAAAGATAAAAAAAAAAAATGTCATGAAATAAGAGGATGAACATGTTTGGATGTGTTGAGCCATCCAGCCATGGTTACAGTTACAGTATTTGCGTGTCCAGGTCAAAGAGATAAGTTATATAAGCTGCTCGACGTTACACCATCACTCACTGGGGGATGTGAATGTCTTGTATATGGTCATCCTGTGTCACACACACACACACTCACGTACCTTACACAACTGCTGGCCCTGCGACAGCTCCTCGAAGGGATACCGCTGGTTACACTTTGTACAGGCGTACAGAGCCGACGTTGCCATTCTCGCTGAACTACGGTCACCGAGCTAGCAGAGGTTACCGGAGTCCAGCTGCAAACTGAACGGATTAGCGGCGCTTTATTTTCTTTTCTAGCCCGAGTGCTAATTCAGAACTAAGTACACACTCACTGTGCTGGCACCCAGCGTTAGCTAATGGTAGCTAGTGCGGCTAGGTAGGGCAACACAGAAATAGCTTAGCTGGAGGGAGCAGGCGAAGAACAATAAACTCCAAATATTTGTGATCTTTAACCGATCAGAGGTTGTCAAACCACGCAGACTAGAGGTCGATGGTTGGTTTCACCGCCCACATAAACAACCAGTTGGTATACGTCAAGCTATTTATGTTAAGTTTCCAGTGTTCTCGCCAAGAAAGAGATATTTTCCTGTTTTCCTTCTCTCTTTTTTGTATCGACGCCGTCGTCATGTAACCGGAAGTGGCAAGACTCTCTCGAGAAGAAGAAGAAAGGAAACCTATCGCGACACAACATCCCGTCCGCGGGATTCACGGTTTGAAAATCAGCAGAGCCAATCACACGTCTGGATTTATTCAACACAGCTCTACGGCGTTTAATTATGAAACTATCTTGTTCAGTCTTTAACTACTGGTCTCTAAAATAACGACTTAAATCAATGTTAGTTTAATTACACATACTCTGAATACACATTTTTGTTTCTTGTTTCTTTCTTTTGTTAATCTTTTATCTGTATCATTACTGATTGATTTAATGTCTAGTAAAATATGTTAATTGATTCAGTTATTCACATAGACTCTGGTCATTCCTAACATAGGGACAGAGCCAGATTATAGCCATAAGATAATTTCCATCTGTAGTCCCCTGCCATGTTGATGGTACACACATACACAAATGCACATAGGACCTCACAAAACAAAGGTAGCACGAGAACAAGCAAAAACCAAACAACAACAAAAACTGTATATTAGTTGACAAAGACACACATAATGATACACAAATTGGCTCTATGATTGTACTCAAAATAAACCAGGATTAAAGTTACTATCAGAGTTAAAGTGCTGAAAAGAAGAGATGTAAAGTGCTGTATTGCACATCATTGTAAGGTGCTGGTGCAAATTGCACATTTGCCATAATGCCCATTTCTGTAAAGTGCTGGTGTAATTGCACAAATGTAGCATGTACAGGTATGTGTATACACATAGTATTGCACAGGGTTAACATATATAAATATGTTTTGTATACAGTACTGCACTGGAGTTGCATAGATTTATTTATGTATGCACTGTGGTGGTTAGACATGGTCACACATTTTGCTTTGAGCCACATCTTTAGATGACCCTTTGAATCTTAGAAGGCTGTTCCTAATGTGCTACTCCAAAGGACATTTGACCAAAGGTGGATCGTGTAAGGCAGCAGTTCTCAACTTGTCTACCCTCAGAAACCACCACCAATCCTCAGAGAAATTGGCAGGCCACATTTCTGATATTTTTCAAACAATCTGATTTATTTCATGAAAAATTGTGCAGTTTGTACCTCAAAGGTACAGTTTAAAAAACCTAGAATATTGTGGAAAAGTTTTTTTTTTTCATAATTTAACTGAAGAAGTATGGACGCAATCAGCCTGTGCCACTGCTGAGGTGTTATAGAAGCCCAGGTTGCTTTGATAGCCTTCAGCTCGTCTGTATTGATGGGTCTGGTGTCTCTCATCTTCCTCTTTGTAATAGGTCAGGCGAGTTGGCTGGCCAATTAAGCACAGTAAAACCCAGGTCAGCAAACCAGTTAATGGTAGTTTTGGCACTGTGGACAGGCACCAAGTCCTGCTGGAAAAGGAAATAGCATCTCCTTAAAGCTTGTCAGCAAACAGAAGCATGAAGTGTCTCCTGGTAGACGGCTATGTTGACTCTGGACTTGATAAAACACAGTGAACCAACACCAGCAGATGATATAGCACCCCAAATCACTGGCCATGGAAACTCCACACTGGACTTCTGACCTGAAAACCAGAGAGCATCTATGGGCTTTTGTCAAGAGGAAGATGAAGACACCAGACCCAACAGGGCCGCAAAGCAACCTGGGCTAGGATAACACCTCAGCACTGCAAAAGGCTGACTGCATCCACTTCATGCTGCACTGATGCAGTAATTTGTGCAAAAGGAGCCCAGACCAAGTATTGAGTGGATAAATTAACTGACTTTTCAGAAGGGTTGACATTTATGTGTTATAAATCCTTGTTTTGATTGGTCTTATGTAATATTCTAATATTTTGAGATAGGGATTTTTTTTTGATTTTCAAGAGCTGTAATCATCAAGATAAAAAGTAAATAAGGCTTTACATATTTCACTTTATATGTAATGAATCTAAAATATATGAAAGTGTCAGTTTTTCAATTAATTTACAGAAAAGAAATGAACTTTTCCATGATATTCAATTTTTTGAGCTGCACCTGTATAACAGTACGGGGTCAGCTGAATTAATCATAACGGACCTGACACAGTCTGTGGTGGGGCCGATGTTGTAGCCTAGGACTAGAGAAAAGAAGAATATGCAAGGCCATCCCATCCATGTAAACATGATGTAAACACGGCCCGACAACAGTACAGCTGACGGGACTCGGGTTTGTCACTCATTGTAGACGGTCATGACTCCGAGAGACATTTACAGGATATACTTGATTTCTGCTGTATTCTTCCTTTAAGGTATGTGGATGAAACAGTTTAAACATAAACATGCTAATAGTTTTAGATCACGTCTTACGTTGCCCCGCAGCACAATCACAAAGTAAGTAAAACTTAACACTTAATACTTATTTTTGTTCATTTATAACAAAACTCCTCCCCTTTATTATTGCCAGGCATACTCTGAAGAAGAGATGTCATACAGGCTCTGACAGTATTTGAAACAGAAATGTAAAAACACACACTGACTCCATGAAATTGATTCCCATGTTTATTGCAAGTTTGTACATGCAAAGAGGAAATGCTTACTTACTCTTTATTTACTTACTCTATAAACCTTAGCAATTAAAAAAAACTGTGCACACTGTTCTCTTCTTTCAATCAGCCACTCAGAGGAAGGCACAGATATCCAATCAGATTAGTGAAACTAGACAAAAAAAACAACCACTCAAAACAAATGATTAGTCAGACATTCTGCTGTGAATAAAAAGAACATCAGCTGACAGCTTTGAAAAAGCATCTTTTATGAAATGTCCTCTCACATGAACAAAAGAGCTATTGCATATTCTCTGTAGTTTGTTAATGTTGCATGGGAACATATTTCCTCCACTAATAGCAAGAGAAAAGAGTGTTTGTGAGCCATAAATACAAGTCTGCACTTAATGATAATAAATAAAATGAGCTAGTTAGAAAAATGAAACTTATGGAACTGAACTCGCTCAATGAGAGGAATGCCAAACATGAACCTTTATGTAGTAACACAAATATTTGGTCACAATAATCTAAAAGCATAGATATTTGTTAGTGTGCTCTATGACTAGTTCTTCATTCTTAGAGGATGCTGACATTACAGCCCTTTAGCTACATGATGAGATGTTAGACAACTCAGGAGCCACTAAGGCAGTTTTAGTGCTAGTGTGAGAAACTTCTGCAGAAAATGAAATTCTTCACATTTGCTTCAGCAGTATTGCTTTCAAATGAAAATTGAACAGTTGTAGTGTGCAGGAATAAGCAAGTGTTCCTATGAAGTGTATAAGGCATATATAATTTACCTGCGTAAAAGTAAAGCATACTTTCAAAAACACTGATTGTATAGGTGGTTTGTTATGCTAAACAGTACTCTGGTTTTGTATCCTCTGAACTGTGAAAGTAGAGTGCACTATGGCTGTATTAAAGCAGCCTGAGACACACACAGACTCTACATAACCCTGTGAAAGATGCAAATACAGCAATCTGCTAAGTCTTAGGTGGTAGTGTTTCAACATTGTGTCACCCCAAAAAAAAATGCACACAGGTCCTTTATGGCAACAGGTGTGACCTGAACTACTGTATGGCATCTCCCCACAAGTCAAATTCTGCTTCTGCGACCTGCATGAGGGTCAGTGGGTGTCAAACAAAGGTCTGCACTGGAGTGATGGAGCGTGTGGGAGAGCCCGCCCTCTCAGAGGAGGAGGAGGCCGAGCGATTGGTCACCTCTCTCTGCAACTCGTCCACTCTCTTCTGCAGCTCGGCGCGCTTTGCGAGCAGCTCTTTGTAGCGCTGATGAACCGGTTCCTGACAAATGCAAAGCCCAAGTTCAGCAACTCAAGTGAGGCACGTATAGAGAGCAAACATGTTTTTGCAACAACAACAAAAAAAAAGAAAAGAAAACATTGACGTCAGTTTAACTTGAGAAATCATTTTTCACATACCTGAGGTCTCATGCGAGGGTTCCAGCGGATGTAATAGCCAACCCAAAGCTCCAGGTGACGTAAGCTGACTACAGGGAACAGCACATGGTTGGAATAGTTCACATACAAAGGATTGGTGAACTCCTCTAGCTGGCTGTTTATATAAGACCACAACGACACTGTCCTCTTTGGAATCTCCTGTAAATTAAAAGGTGTGGTTGTGAAGACACTGAAAAACGTATAAATAACAGACTTTGTACTCCACCCTCCTAATTATTCTAATTTTGCAACCATAATCACATGCTGCTCTTACCTCCTTCAACCTCTGTTGTTCACTGTTACATAAGAATGTCCCAAACAGGCAGCTGTACAGGTGGTCCAGGATGGTCACCAGGAAGTATTCATTAAACTCGAACGCAGCAGGAAACTTAAACAAAAGCAGCTTCATTAGTTTCATAGAAAGATGTTATTATGAAGAATTTGTAAAAAAAAATATATATTTTTTGCTTCCTCTACTCTCCATTCAGATACCAAAATTGTCACAGAAACTTCCAGGCTTCGTTTCAGAAAGGAGGTTCAACTGAGTCTTACCCTTAACTCTAAGCCCCTGTATCCACCTAGCGTCTATGACAACAGTCTGTTGACAACGTCCGGTGTATGACAGACACAGCTCCCTCACTTTTTACTGCATGTTTCATGTTAGAGATCGTTTTTTTTTACCCCAGCAGACACGGAGCAAAGAGGATGTGAGTACAAGATACAATCCGTAGAAGGCTTAAATACGAGGAATGTCATACATTTTGAAAAGAGCGCCGGTGACGTCAACAGCGTCTTTCTGAAAAGTTGAAAAGATTTTCAATTTGGTGTGCTCGGAGCGGCTGCACAAAAAACGGTAGAGCGCTTGTAAAAAAAGGCGGCCGCTTTCTACTGCGAACGCTCTGAACTGAAAAAAGACGCTGGCCCTGAGGAAAAAAAAACGTTAGGTGGACACGGGGCCTAAGTTTGTTTACCCTCAGTCTCAAATTGTAGAACAGCTGATTTGAGTCCGCAAGCTCAACGTTTGTATTCTTACAAATGCTTCACTGTATAGTTATTTGTTCATTTTTTTTAATTGTTTGTATTTAATGTCACTGCTTTGTCAAGTCAAGAGTAAAAACAAATAAAAATATTATCCCATGTATTGCTTACCTGGCGAGTCAACTGCCACACACAGTCAATGAACTGAATAAAAACAGGAGATCGGTCTGCGTCTGTGTGGTTCTTATCGCCGTGACCGATACGCTGAAAGAAATAAAGAAAGGAAAAATGAGTCATTACTTGCAAACATCCCCCACCTTATGGTCTGTGGTTTCTGAAACGTTAGAATTGTACATTACTGCGGTTACCAGTTGGAATCGGTGGCCAAAGCTGAGCCACTCTTTCTCCAGCAGCACCTCAAAGCCACGGATGGTGCGGTAGTAGCCATCCAACATGAGCATGGCCAGTGAGGTGAGCTGGGCTGTGCGGTCCCAGCCGTCGCTGCAGTGCACCACCACGGAGGTTTTCCCAGACTCCACCTTGTCTGCAATCCTTAGGGCTCCTGCAAGGATCAGCTAATAAACACACAACCTGTGTGTAAGACTCAGGGACTTCATTTATCTGCGTTTTTCTTTCACATTTCTTTTCTCTCCTTGTTCTGAATCAATTCATTATGTTCACCTTGATGTGCTCAAGCCAATGAGTAGACTCCAGATTAGAGAGCCAATGGGAGTCCTCGATATTTGGGTATACCACGTCTTTCAGCTTGCGGAGCGACTCTCTCATCACATGGATGTTGTGAATATCCAGAAACACCAGCTCAGCGTTTTGATAGGCGTCCTCACTTTCATATCCGCCCCCCTTCATCTGAAGAACAACAACAAGCAGACACTGATGATGCTGTACAACACTTCCCTCAAACAAACACAAACACGGGTAAATACCAAATTCATTTCTCCTATGATACGATATTGAGATCTTAAAGATTTAATAAACCTTGTTAGCAGCCGCGTTGACACTGGGCCGGGCATCAAAAATGAAGAGTTTGTGGGATTGAGCATTAGCATCCATGATGGCCTGGAGGTATTTCTCATCCTCTTTGCTGCGCTTCCCGTTCACCCCAACCATTGGCTGACTGCAGCGTGTCACTGTCGCCTGGCTCTCGGGATGAATCCATGACAACACCTGCACACAGAGGGCAACAACTTATCCCCAAGACGGTCAAACAAACGAACAGAAAAGTGGATTCATGTTGAAAATCGTTCACTCACAGGAATCCTCCCCTTTGCTCTGAAGGCAGCCACTCTCCTCAGCTCCTCGTCTGGAATGTTGACTGGCACCGCCAGGGTTGATGGGTAGGTGTCACAAACCTCGTAGTGATCGTTTATTTTGGTTATCCTCCAACTTTCATTGGGTATACCCTTAAAACACACAAAGCGGCCAAGCTGAGGCATTTTTCTTAAAAAAAAAAACATCAGCAGTGTGACGTTGGGAATTTAAAATACCTGTCTTTTGTATTCAGACACAGCGTCGTACACCTTCCATCCGTTTTCAGGAAAGACTTGCCCATATTCAAAGGCAAAGATTTGCTGTGGAGAAGCAGGAAAGAAATCCGTCAGTCGACAGAGGGGGCAGAGAGACAGGGACGTGGACAGTGTTTCTGAAAATCACTCACCAGCCCGTTGGAAACAGGAAACGCAAATTTCATCAGCACTTCGAAAATGGACTTCCTCAGTGTGTCATCCATTTGTTTGTGTGCAAATCGCAGATTTCGCACATCCTGCACAAAGCAAGCAGAGCTGAAGGTCATGGGCAAATCAGAGATAAGCAGTTTAGGATTTCAGAGCAGCAAGGCCAAAGCATGCCAGAAACACAGAGCATCAAAATGGGTTTGCTTTTTCTCCTGTTCTGTGTTTCTACAGCAGGGCTCAAAGAAGCTTGTGCACACTGAAACTGTAAACATCCCAAAGGCCACATAAAACAAGCGCAGTTATTACAGACCATTTCCACATCTTACTTACCTTGCAAACCAGCCCATAGGACAAGTCACCGCGGCTTGAAGCACTTCCAATTTTTTCCACACGACTCACCACACCCAGGGGAATGTCGAGCACAAATGTTGGCTCCTAGAAACCAAACATAAACACATTAAAAAAAACCAAAAAAAAAACCTTCCTTTTGAGTGTTTCATGAAAAACAAAAATAAAGCATACCCTGTCCATGCATCTGAAGAAAAGTCTGTAGTTGGTTACTGTCACAGTTCCCCTCAGTGCGCCAATGAAAGGACAGAAGTAGGTGACATCTTGGGCTACAAAGGAAAAGAAGAAGAAAAGGAAGAAGGAAACCCTGATTTAGCCAAGTAAAAATAGAAAAATAGAATAAAATAAAACCATTGTAAGGTGGAAAGGACAATTTCTAATATCTAATAAAATCCATAATGTTTTTACTGGCGCTGACAGAATCACAGACAGTTAGTTACCCATGTCTTGCACGGTTTCATTTGGAAGTAACTGTGGTTCCTCTTTGTCCGACTCTCTCAGCACCTTCTGTAAAAATAAGACACACAAGAGTGAACATTAGACATACAAATGAATCTGACTGTGGAGCGGTTTTTATTCTAAGACAAATGTTTTGCAATACTTAATCGATGACATGGCCTACCTTTGCAGCAGCTTTGGGCTTAACCTTGAAGGGTTCAGAAAAGAGGAGTGTCATGCTTTGGTTGTTACAATTAATAATGAATGAAGCAACACAGTTTGAGAGAACCATACACACTTTAGCCTTTTCTGCCAAAAACAAAACAGAACAACTTTATACTGTTTTGAAAGAGTAATTATCATGTAGTATTACGTGTAGGCTACTTGCCCTCATCTCTGGGGAGAGCTCTGCAGAGGTGGCAACAGACTCCGAAGACATTGCGGAGGGTGGCTTGGCCGGGGCTGACCGGTCAGAGCGAGAGGTGGAAGTACTGTGGAGAGACAAACAAGAGAGAGGATGAAAGGAAATTAATCTATGAAGAATGTCAACACAACCATTTCTCATCTCATTCCTGTTTAATGAAAACACATTTTTAGGAAATAATTAAACAAATGAATTATTTATTTATTAATTTTTTTTATTAGCTGAGCTAAAGTGTTAAAGTGGGCATGTTATGCAGCATAGATAGTGCCTAATCTAACATCTTTTATTTGACTGAACATTAAACTCCAGCTCTTTTTCCAGCCTCTAAAATGATTTTTAGCTTTCTTTTTTTTTTTTTTGTAAGCAAACAAACAACTTCAACATGAAATTGTTCATATTCAAATCACAACTTATTGATCGAAACATAAAATCTCAGAAATCAATGAAGCATATAATTTTGCAAAGGGTTTTCTTTTTTTCTTTTTTTTAACTTTATCGGTTGTTAGAGTAGCCTCAGCATGTAAATATATCAAAGTACTGTGGACTGTGATCTGCTTTTCAACCTTTGGTTTTTTTGACATGGTGCTTCGTTCTTTGATTGTGCCGACAATGACTGCTGCCATTAAATGATGCAAAACTGCACAAGTATAATACGCGTTACTTTTCACTCATAGTACATAAATATAACCCCTTGTGGTATTTTCAAAAACTTTTCGCTAGCTTGAAACGCGATGTGTTGTGTTAGGTTTAGCCGACCTGGACAATGAATCAACACTTGGCTGCCGGGAAGAGGATCGTTTCGAGCCCAGACTGTCGATGCTCCCGCTCTTCTCCATCTTCTACAAACGAAGTGTTACTTTGGAGCCAGACTGTGCGATGGAGGTCCGATTATCCACTGAAGAGAGACTTCAGACACCTCCTCGGAGAACAGCAAATCCCCACTTTCAAAAGGAAGCTGCCATCTTTCCCAGAAGCCTCCCTCCTGTCACAAGGAAGCAATTGTTTGAGACGGCGCCACCTGCTGGCCGATTCTGGGGCTCCAATGCACCAGGCCTTTACTCTGAAACGGCAGTGAAAGACTTCTGTAATGATATAAAAACAAATGTAATCGACGGTTCAATTTGCATAGGAATGTGAAAATATCGAATATATTAATTAATATTTAATTAATAAATTAAATATAATAATTAATATTTAATTAATAAATTAAATATAATATAATAATTAATAAATAAATTAAATATAATATAATTAATATTTGATTCGTTTCTTGTAACAAATCTCTGACTCAGAACACAAAAAACATTGACCTTATGTATCATTTTAATAATATCATTATATGCCCCCCATATGGGGAATCAATAAGATTTTCTTATACACCAATTGTGGAAAATATCGATATATCCAAAATATTACTCAATATAAATTATGCAATACATTCTGGGTCCAGATAGAAAATATGAAGAAAAAGTATACTTGTTAAAAAGCTGTGAACAAGTTATCATAAACAATGACAGCCATGTTTGTCAAAGAAAACCAACAAGCCATTGAAGACACGTTTTTGTTTATTGAGATTAATAAAAAAAAAAAAAAAAAACTAAAGACAACTCAGATGTTGAATTACATTTAACAAAGTCGTCAACATTTCCATGAGCTGTAACTGACAGGATGTCACTCACCAACTAATTTATTTACAACATGTAAGCTATATCTGTACAAACACCAATGCATTTGAATACAGAATGTGTTTGAATGACATCTACAATTACATGCATGAGGGCAAAAAGAAGGAAGTGAGAAATGAAATAGAAAATAGTAAAATCTGGAAAAACAAAGTTCTTTATTTAACATATTTCTCCATAAATTTCTTATGGAACTCAGAGCGCAGCGTGTCGTTGACAAAGCGTTTTTCCTTTCGCGCTTCATCCACTCCTTTGGCGCAATTCTTGAACACAACATCGTCATCCCACCTAGAAAGATTTGAACAAATTAAACTTTGTTGTCTCCAAGTTGAACAACCCTTATTTACATATGCATGTTTTTGTGTAGATACCTTCTCTTGACCCTGAATGTGTTTTGAGTCTGGCTCATCTGTTGTTGCTGCTGCTGCTGCTGCTGCCCTGCCAAATTAATCAATGGATTGCCACTCAAGATATTCTCCATGCGAATCCTCTCCTCTTCTGCCTTTTGCTCCCGCTCCTAGGACAGAAAAGCAGCATATTTACTCAACAATTACCACATGTCCTAATGACCTAACTGTGATTTCTGAGCAGGTAAAAACACTTCAGTCTGAAGCAATTCTTTACTTTGCGTTCTTGCTCTTCAGCACGCTCCTTCTTGATCTTCTCTAGTTCTGCCAGAAGAGCTGCAGTGTCATCGTCGTCACTGTCCTCCTCAGAGTCCTCGTCCTCATCATCCTATTAACAACCAAACATCATTTGTAAGAGAACTTAATGAGCACAAATCACCCCTAAGTGTCCAGTAAGTCATGCAGTGAAAGCACTCACATCAGTTAGAGGGTCATCCGCATCAAGGTTGGCTGCTGGGATCTGATCCAGTCTGGGCCGCTTTGAAGATGATGATGAAGACGAAGATGATGTGGTGTGCTCTGAAAACGAGGGTCAACGCACTATTGTAAACAGCTGTTGTCATGGGCGTAAACTTGGTCAACATTTTATTTAGTAAAATCATTTGTAATAATCAGTAAAGCTTATATCTGCAGTAATACCATTACCAACCTCTTGGGCCCCTTTCTCTGGTCTTCTCACGTGCAGCTACACGCTCCTTCTCCTCCAGCTCCCTGCGGAAGTCACGGGCGCGCACCTCTTCGGGGGCATCCTGGGTCGGTTGCCTAGAAACAGGGAGTTAATAAAAACAGTTAAAACGTGCTTCCAATGTGTATCCTCAAACTCAGACTTAGCAGAAGAAGTAGAAAACAGTTGAGACAATATAACACTGGATTTCAATCAGTGTCTGTCGAAGAAGCAAGCAGTAAATACACCAACACACTGCTTAAAGTCACATTCATGTTTGATCCACTGACCTGTACTTGATCTTGGTGTGACCCGGTAGATCTCGACTTGAGTACTGCTTGGACAGGGCACTCAAATCACCTTCTCCTTTACCCCTCCCTCCTCTGGCTGGCTCAAATGTTGGCCTTGCAGCTGTAGTCATTTTTGATGGCTCTGCTGCGTCAATGCATGAACAGACCAAACATTAAAAATAAATAAATAAAAAAACCAGTTAATTTAGATATAAAACAAACAAGACTGAGGATGGGAAGAAAAGACAGAGGCATCTCATGATACAATAATGAAGTTCAATCAGCTGATAATGAAGCAGACAGCTCTCCAATACTCATACTAGGAGCCTCTTTATCATCAGGGGCAGGGCTACAATCTATTTTTCATAAACAGATTATGTTTTTCTCAAGTAATACAGTTTGTGAGTACAAATGTGTGAATTAATTGTTGCAGTTTAAAGAGACAAGTCATGCAACATATAGAAACATTTTTCACTTTGAGGCAATAATTAAACTTTTTTAGTGTAAAACATAATATGGTTAAAATACAAGCCTCAACATTAAATCTGTCTATAAGTGTTTTTCTAAGACGTTTTCCCTTCATTTAAAGGCATGTAAGATGTTTTGTGTAAGTAGCTCGTTATCCTGGTAGCTATGGCTTCCACAGCTAAAAGGTGCTAACATGCTAACATGATCAAACATCACTGTTGAGGTGGAAAATGAGATATATCGCATCTCCAGCCGGGAATTCACTGTCACAATAATTACACAAAGGTATATTTGTTGACGTATCAAAAGACTTAAATAACGTGTTTCAGAGATGAATTACAAAGCAACAACACTTACAAAGCTGCCACCACACGAAGAAACAGAAGCGCTGCTACTCGTGTCGTCACTTCCTGCAGATCGCAAAGCCTGCAAAAAGATGCATTCAAAGACACCTAAAAGTGAGAAATCACAACTACCTGCTGAAGGTATCATCCGGTATCAACTTTTTCCACTTCATCCTACATGTCTGGGTTTCTACCTTCATACATCATGTAATCTTAAAGCGAATCTCTCTTTTTTTTTAATCAGTGTTGAGCCTAGCAGTTAAACTTCAATTATTTTTCTGTTCAAATTCAAAAACTTTTGCTTTTTGGTCCATCTCGATCTGTGCAAACTAGGGATGGGTTTTGTTAGGATTTTATCGATACATACCGGTACTGCTTATCGATACCGATATTAACTATACTACTCTTCATCATTTGGGTCAAAAACTAAACACATGACATGAAAGATGTCTAATGTCAAACATAAAATATAACATCAAGGGGATTCATTTTAGCTTTATGTTTCAAGGAAACATTTGTAATTTAAAATGACTATATTTTAAGTTGAAACATGTTGGAAATATATGCCATTTTCAATACATTCCCCAGACATATAAGTAACCTCAAAAACTCTGACTGTAGCATATGAACTCTTATGGTTAAACTTTGTATTTACCATTTCATTAGGCCATTAATGTGTAAAAGTCTACAATGTTCTCTGTGATGCTTCTCGTGATATGTTGGAGCTTTTCTAGCACACAGTAAAAAGCTCATATGTTAAAATGAGATCTTTATTATACTGAGACCAAATATATGCCAAATATTAAGTTATTAGTAGGAAATCCAGACACATTGCTCTTCAACAGGCCGAGGATGAGAGAGAGATAGATAGATAGATAGACAGAGAGAGAGAGAGAGAGAGATGCATGTTGACAGAGGAGCAGGCGTGACAACCTCAGGTAAATCATCAAAGGAAGTGAGCAGCATCTCTCTGTTAACGTTGACAGACAGCTGTCTCGCATGAACGATCCTCCACAGACTGAAGCTGAAGAGACATCGGTTGATCCCCCACATTATTAGTAGCAGGAAATACATCTTTGATCAGAATCATGCTGTTATCATTTTACCCAGACAAATGTGATGTTGTAAAGGTAATGTACTGATTTGATGATTCATCTGGCACATACCTGCCTGTAGTATATGAGGACAACTTTGAAATGCTTCCTGTGCACGTCACGTTGTTCCATATGTGTTTCTGGTGTCCTCTGAAGCAGAGCGTAGTGATGAGTGTCTCTGTGCATTAAATCAAAATTATTTTTTCTTTCCTTCAATCATTTTGCTCATATATATAGCCTATATCTAACACTCTTCTCATCTGAGCCTCTGCGCCCTCGCTCTTATTTGTATAACGCCAATTCTGAATAAATGTTCAAGACACTTTCCAAAAAGCAGGTAAAAAGCCCTTACTCTTTGTTATAATATATTAACCAAAGAGCAGGTAAGTAAAAGACCTTACTCAAATGGAGGTACATTGCTCTAAAATGAACAGGAAAAGCGAGCCGCAACTTGTTAATTTAAAACTATTTTATAAGACTCAACAGAAAAAGAAGCTGATTTTGATCTGGGGTGGCACACACACACACACACACACACACACACATTTTCCTTATTCTGCTGGTGGCCATATAGTCACAATTCTCAAAGTACAATCTCAATCTCAGATTTGGAAGAAAATATAACTTTTTAAACAAATTACTTTTATATGGCATTGAGTACAATGTGGGAAAATAAACACTCACTATCAGGTTCAAAATGTTCCCTCGTTTTTCTCTTCAACCATTACATTGAGCAATACGTACCTGTTCTACCACATCCCCCCTGTGTGTTCTGTGTTTGGAACTTTGTGACACATGACTTTCACAACTTCTGTTTTTTTGTTCTGATTCCATGCTGTTAGAACACCAGGTATTTCTACTGAATATGTTGGCTGAGGTTCAAGCAGGAAACCAACAGAGGAGGTTTTACTGGATTCCACACAACTTCTGAATGTTATCCATCTGAAGTCTTTTGTTACTTGGACAACTTCAATGCTTCCACAGGAGAAAAAACACCAGAAAAGCAAAGACAAAATATAAAACGATTTATGGCGCAACTGTACTGCACCGTTTTATCGCAGTCTCACTTATTATATAAGCACCAGTGTGTGGTGGTGAGGGATTTTGTAAGGCTGCAGTCTTTCATTCACTTTCGGGCCATATGTTAGGCATAAGTCTGCACAGATTGAGAAACATTTCATCAGTTCTCTTGATTTGTGAATGCAGTCCACAAAGAGGCTGTGTAACTTGAACAGATAATTAGATCCGCAATGAACAACAATATGAATTAATTAAAATAAGTAACTTGGCTGTGATGGAAAATTACACTTAAAAAGTAAATGGTGACCAACATACTCTGAACTACAAGCAGAGGAGACATTTTAGTTAATTATTTTATTTGTAAAACTACTTAACCATCAAAGACTGTGGTTTAGTTTGTTGGTGGCATGTATCCGTTTCACTAGAGAGATGCTTGTATCACTTACATGTAGAACAATGTATTCAAAGTTCCTGATAAGGCAGGGGATTACATTCCAGATAGTTAAAACTCTGATCTCTTTTAAACTCAATCATGATGAAAAGTGAAACAGCCTATTTTTTTTAAAGATCTGAAAATGTAAAAAAAATGAATCATGGGCCGCTGAGTTTCTGGAAACATTGACAGCATGTTAAGTATATTGTAAAGGACGTAAATCTGTGGAAATAAACACAGACCACAAGTCACTAAATTATAAGGCTGGCATAGATGGTGTAAGGTTGCCCCACACATAACTGCAAGCAGGAAAAACAATGAAAACATTTTTTTTATTGTGTTCTTTGAAAAGTGTGAAAACCTGTAAAAATAACACTCAAATGTAACATTCAACACATTGGTATATGTCTATGTCTGCACTCTTTGATTGTTATGAAAAGCAGCCCACTTGATAGAGCTGCACTGCAGTAGGTGTGGCACTTTCTATCCAAAAGGGGTGGAATCTGAAGAGACAGGGGGTGGGGGCTTGTGTTGACGTTTCTTGACCTGCCTGCCTGTATGACATTAATTCCCAGAGGACGCTCTACAGCACTGCGATTCCACAGCGCTCATACAGCTGACCAGCACACAGGTGAGATCACAACATGGTGCAGGGATGGACTTCATACTATTTCTGGTTTCATATTATCATATTATCTGTTTCTGCAGGGCTATGGCTCATTACAAAGTCAGAATTGCTGTCATTTGCTGTGTGTGCATAATGAATTTGACCTGATAATTGATGCTAAATCTCCATTGAGGCTCATTCTATGAGATTAAAAGTGCAGGTCAAAATGTTAACTCAAGCTCAAAGAGTATACAAAGGAGAAGAACAGAATGAGAGGACAAAGTGAAACCTGACCTGACAGTACATCGTTTTTATCGCAGTCAATCTGCAAAAACTGTATTAATCTAATCTGTCAGGGTTGAAGTTATATTTAAACATACCATTTCAGTGAGCACTTACACAAGAATTAAAAACTCTTACATAAATACATAACGGAAGATGCCGTAACTGTCAAGAGTGATAAATTAACAAGAATACAAAATACTTTAATGTCACTTTTACAATCTGGGGGAGTTGATTCTGTGCAGAATGCAGAACAACAGGTACGAGATGCTGGGTAATCTGTAAACAGGTCTGAAGTCAGTGGGATGGACTGCTGCTGGAATAATTACAGGTCAAATGCATACCTTTCAATTCACACATTTTTTCCGATTAAATCATTTCAGTAGGTTGTTACATCTGAGAGAACAGCATCATGTCAAAAGGTAAGTCACATGTAAATATATATATATATTTTTTACTCAATTGAATTTGGCGTGCAGGTATTCTTTGTACTACTCCGTATTGACAGAAAATTTGCATATTGTAGAAGTTGACAGAAAACAGGTGTTTCAAACGACCAGAGTGCGGACTTCACTGAAGAACGATCTCAGCTGGATCCAAAAATCAAAACAGCCACAGAAAGAGCAGGAAAATGCAAGGTATACTATAAGTGATAAAACTGCAACATCAACAAAAAAAAAAGAATTGTTAATTTAAAGCATTATGGCACTTACTATCATGGATGCTGTTGCTAGTTTGCTTTCCTTTATTTAACTGATATTATATGGTTTAAGCAAAGCCACTTATGTTTGTTTTTCCACTTATTCATTATTACAAGTTCTGAGAGCACTGGTGAAAATGTTTTTGTTGCAATTTCAACATACTTGTGTTCTGTTTTATAGAACTGAAGAGGCTGTGGTAGAGACCAAACCCAGTCCAGTCAGGCAGAGCTCCTATGTCCTGTCCACAATCAAGAAGTTTGAGTGAGTGCTACTGACTGAATATTTAAAGATATAAATAATTCCTTTAAAATTTGACTGAGGGGGTGGATTGCTCACTGAGAAACTGAAAATCCCTCGTGTCATACAGTGGTTATAAAAGCACAGCTGCATAATGGTTTTATAATAGGCCTACAAACTGGACACAACATCAGTAGAAAAAACCTGAGTTCTTACTGTGTGATAATTGTCACAGACGTATGTCCATCCATACAGTAGTACCAAAGTTTGGCCTGCAGATGTCACCTTTTTCACTTTATCAAACACGGTGTGAAATGCTTACAAACTCAACACTGCTCAACTGATATACAGTCACTTCTTCAGACACACATTTCATGTATCACTAAATGATGTACGAGTATTACATTTCATTGCATATTTGATTTAGTCAATGTAGTTTCACAACATGTTTGAAACAAGTTCTTGCTATTAGGTACTTTTTTTTTTTTTTCTCGCATTTTATAGATTTAATTAGCAATGAATTATGGGTTATTAATTCTGAACTAGTTGATTTTTAAACACTATATCTAAGCTTTTAACAATTTTTTGAGTTCAAAAAATTCTGAGGCTGAAACCAATTTATTCCAAGGCTGCAAAAACATACTTAAATGAAAAAGACAGTTATGAGAAAGGAGACACAAGACAAAGGGTGTTGGAGCGTCAGAGGAACTTTTAGCTTCCTGTTATGAACTCAATGTATTTCACTTGTATACTTAGAAATGTCACTTCTGAAGGCTAAACTGAAATTCTCCTTAGTCTGTGTTGTGTCAGTGAACGAAAACAACAAAAATAGGCTTCAGGCACACAAAATCCCCATATGTGACATTAACATACATAAACATGAAGTTAGCTCTGGGCTGCTTTAATACTCATGAAGACTAACAGTGTGATGCTGCCTGAACTGTGCTCTTTTTCTGCAATCTGCAAATACAAATCCTTCAGGGGTTTTATTTCCCCAAAGGCACAGAGGAACACACAGCTGCTCTAACACCTGCATGTTTCCCCTTCAACACAGATTCAGCCGGCCGAAAACGTGAATTATCATGATGACAATGAAACACACTTTGAGCTGTACAAATACCGTATGTTACCAGCCATTTATTTTTTTTAGTCAGAACTTGTGTGCTAATGCTAATGCAAGGATTTTTCTCAGCATAGATTTCGGATTTTATTCATAAAAAGTTTTCAATAATTATAGATTATGCCATACTAAGTGTTTTCTAATGCAGACAAACCGTCTACAGAGTGCCAAAATTATAAGTATTTATAAATGCAGAAGGGCTCCTTGTCTGTGTATTGTTGCAGCCAGACCCATTGCAGCAATATTACATCATCTGACTTTATCATCGCACACACACACGCACCCCCTTCAGTAAATTATTAAGTTTCTGGAACACATTTGTGCAGCAACAATAGTTACAAAATTCATTTATTCAGGTTTTTTTCCCCTTTACATAATTCTGTCGGCCTGTTCTTCTGTGTGTATAGAAAACACAACGTTTTTGAACACATATTTGTATAGACACCCATCAACAAACCAGCAGCAGGTTACACAGCTAATGGCTCGAGTACCTCCAGAATATTTGAGCAAAGAAATAACAGATTCCAGCCTAAGTGGTTTCACAGAGATGGTATCATTTCTCTTCTACACATTTAGAAAAACATTGTTCCCCCCTCTGATCTCTCGGTGTGTTTCACACATCATGACTGAACAACACAAAGGAAACATTTCTAATTAGACCCATTAGATTATGGCTTATTAAATGAGGTGATCTGATCATGCTGTAATATGTCAATTGATTGAAAACACAAGCTCCCAGCATGCAGCATGTTAACTAGCTCAAAGCTTTTGATCAAGATCCAGTTAATTAGAAAATAAACAAAACTTGTCCTAGATGTGCTAGATGTGAGTTAGCTTAGCTAGCTTTCAAGGAGTTAAACACAAACAACACAAAAAGACAGAGCTTAAGAGACTGTGATCTACATCTCTGAATGTTACGGCTTGTTTAAACCATAGACTGTAAATATTAATATAATATAATATTTAAACCTCTGACTCCCTGTCTGGCTTTATGGGGATATGATTAGTGAGCAGTTCAACTTAAGACTTTGTTAAGTTGAACTGTTCCATTTCAATAATATCATGAGGGCCTGAAGGGGTAAAGGTAAACAACATTTTGAAATAAAAAATAAAAAAATCTTAGAGAAAGTAAGATGTAGTTTTTTAGTATCAGAAATAAAAATGTTTTCTTTAAACTTGGACTCCACTACACTTAAACCTTTGTTATTCAACTTCTGAATCTGAGCACAACGTAGAAAATATCAGCACAGCTTGTTTTCTTTGAGCTGACAGACAAACAGAGCGCTCTAGAGGGAGGTACAGGGCTGTCAACACATTCAGTGTGTCAGATCGGATGATCGAATTCATCGTGTTTATCCCCATGTTATTAAATTAGTCCAGCTCTGTACTTGACAGTAGTCTCTCTGGTGGTGAGGAGCTATGAGGAGGGTCCAGAAGCTGTAATGTCCCTTATACTGTGCAGCCCCTGTGCTGATGTGGAAAGTGAGGCTCCTGCTGCCGACCCAAAGCTGTGGGACGGCGTTACATGACCCTCATTTATAGCAAACTGGTTCAGCGGGTAGATTCCACATTTCCTAAAGCCTTCCTTAACAGTCCTGATACCCTCACACTCCTCCACTACCTGATAAGTTCCTTTAAACACACCTGAGAACTCCTTCTTACTGACTGCAAAGTGAGTGTCAGTGGCACAACCGTCCCCTATGAGGGCCCCAAAACGCTGCTTCAGTAGAACAAAGAGCCCTGCATCGAGTGGCTGCAGGATGTGAGAACAATGAGGGGGAAGGCAGAGAAAGATGACGTCCTCTTTACGAGCGGCTTCCACCACCTCGAGGTTCACAGGAGACTTGTGGCCGTCGAAAATCAGCAGCAGGGGACGCTCCTTCGGTGCGCACGGAAGGAAGTGTTTGAGGAACCATTTCTTGAAAAGCTCAGAGTTGATACACCCAGTGTCTGACCATCCGTAGAGAGCATTCGGAGGCCCTTGTGTCTTGTAACAAACTCCTCCTGGGTAGGCCTTTGAGTAGATAATGAACGGGGGAATGTCCTCTCCAGCTGCGTTAAAGCAAGGCAGGACAGAGATCTGATCTCTTAAACCTGGCGTTGGCTTGCAGCCCTGACTGGTAGACTTGGGGAGAATCACCCTCCTCCTGCTGAGCTGGAATCCTGTCTCGTTGCAGTTAAAGATCTGGTGAGGTTTGTCTCGGAGCTCTCGAGCGTCCATGACGGTGTTCAGTAAATGAAAAAACTGGTCCACTGCTTCTTTCCTAACACACACAGACCTCCCTCGGACAACATTGTCCGCCGGCTGAATTGTTATGTTGTTTTCTTGCCGTTTTCGGAAATTAAGCCACCAGGTCTGTCCTAGTTTAGAGAACGCGACCCTCCGATGCTGCCGCTTATAAATGGACGAAGCAAATGACACCAGCTGTTGCTTAGTCAGCGGAAATCCATGCTTGGACATGTATAAAGAGAACTCCACCAAAAGCCCCTCGTCCGCAGATGTTATAAGCTGAGCTGGCCCGCTGCGACTCCCCGGTGTCACCCGTCCACTGACTCTGTCCCCCAGTGACGATTTCGGGACTCCAAACTGCTTCGCGGCCTGTCTCACCGTGCACCTCCCAGACTTCACCTCGATCAGCGCTCGCTCCATGGACTCCTCTGTCCATTTCTTCTTCGTTTTCCTCCCGATTTTGTCAAGATGATTTCTCGATGGCATTTATTTCTAGGACGGCATTCAGTGAAATGAATTACAATCACAACTAGCTTACAAATCTTAATCAATTCATTTGAAAACAAAAGTTTCTCACAGACTCAACACATTCAGTAGTTTTCATCTTCTGTGGTCTTTCACTTTCACCTTGACTACAATGAACAGCAGATAACACACAGTTCTCTGGTATGGGAATTACATCATATCCTTATTTATAAGTGCAATACTCAGAATTTGCAGCAGCAGAGTCCCAAACACATCATTTTTTTCTCAGGTGATTTTTCTTTTTCCAAAAAACATTAAAAAAAACCCTCTTTCTAATCGACTTTCTAACAAACTTGTGAAAAAAGAGCTCTTATAATAGTAGTAGAACATCTCCATCAAGTTATCTTTCTTTACTCACAGTTATTCATTTAGCCTCTCTTGCCCTAAGGTTTCAAAGAGCTCCTTTAGTGGAGGACTACATGTTAAAACTACAGGTCACTTACTTGTTTTGGGCAGCCGTCGTTCTTCTCCTGAGTTTAATGTGACGCTGAGCACGCTGTTATCAAGAGAGGGGGAGGGTTAATTCATTGTTAAATATATATCGTGACAGAAGGTTTGAAATACGCGGTTATCTTTAACCAGGACAGAACACTTACCTGCTTAGCATGAGATGGCTAACGCGGATACACAACAATCCAGGAAGTATACCGGAAGTTACGCGACGAGTGCCGTCAAAGTAAGAGTATAAAAGTTCCTGTTTACACAATAAGTGTATAACCCTGAAGACAAACGTGAACATAATAAATGTCATCCTATCAAAGTACAGCTACGAAAGATAGCTGGAATATTTATGAGATTAAAAAAAGAAATCAAACCAAAACTATGGCAACATTTTTTCTATCTTTCTCATATCAAATTGTGCACCCTTCCCCACCTTTAGATGGTTTGTGAAATGTTTGCTGTTAAATAGCCTATAACACCATCTTAACTAGTTAGTTAGTCACATATGAGTACACCTTGTTTTGAGTATGACACAATGACCAGTATTGCATCGGTTGTGTTACTCTCTGCTCTGCTCTACTCTTGGACAAAAAAACAAGTGGAGCATGACCTTACGATCGATCTGGAGCTGAATCATTATTGAGATGTTTTGCGACTGCAGGCATAATTGACTCTTGTCCAATATTTGTGCCTCTGATTTATTGCGTGCATCGCTCATAGATGAGACACAATCTGGGACCAAATTGACTCATGGATGACTGGATCAGTAGGATTATCAAGAAAACATCTCCACCCCTCACTTCAGAGTAATGTGTTTTGTGGCATTTGAACTGTTAACAAGCGTTTGTTGATATTTAATGCCGTATTTATCTGCTTTACTTCATCAATAAATGTTGCTTGCTTGTTCTGTTTTTTTTTTACCACTCAGCTTAGATTATTGCATCTTTTATGTTAAACTTGTTGCGCTCATCCTCTAATAAGTGACATTCTGTCTTGGAAACATTTTTGAGTGTAGGACATAGATGAACCTCTCACACTTTCAAAAAGAAGAAACTCTTTAAACCATTGTATTGCAGCCCAGTCAGCCCTGATGGGAATTTGAGCCTATAGTGTGAAGCTGATGAAATCTTCCTCTGCTTGTGTAAAAAATTAATTAGCAAGATATAACTATCTATTTTCAAGTCTTCTCAGTTCTTACAGGTTATACATGCCAAGGTTTTTTCCAAGGTTGACTTCTTGTTCTTAATCTGTAGCTCAGAAAATGATCCGTTGAGTCCTCTCCACAGACACTTTGTTCAGTCTAAGAGGCTGTATACTGAATTTTAATAACCCACAAACAGTGAATAAATTGAGCAACTATTCATGGTTACCCTGTAAATCCACTTGTTTCAAGGTTTGAACACCTAAACAAATTTTTACATACATTGGCCTAAATATTTACTGTATAACTTAATTCTTTTCTGTTCCACATTTTAGCCTAATCAGGCAAATGTTGAAGTTACTCCTCCCCAAAAAGATGGGTATTCTTCTTCATGTGCTTTTTTTGGATGCTTGGAATCAGTATCTGTCTTCTGTTACAGGCCCGAAGCACCTGCTGAGCGAACTATCCAAAATGATGGACCAGAAATATCTATTTCCAACACAATTGCAGAAAACAAGGGAGCAAATGCAGATGCGTCAGTTGACAAGATAAATGGAGAACACATAGAGGTGGCTGCTGAGGTCTCTGCAGATGTTCTTGTAGAAGAATGCATTCACAATGGAGAGGCACAACCAGTGTCTTCTGCAGAAGATAAAGCTAAGCTACAAGTTGCAAACTCAGTTGCAATATTAAAGGAAGAGGTTGCTGATACAACCGTTGAAGAAGCTAAGATCTCTGCAGACACTACAGTGGAAGATCATGTTGTCCATGTTGCACTTCCAGTCGAAGTCAAAACTCAAGAAAAACCTGCGCCTGAACCAGAGTCAACAAATGCAACACTTGTGGAGGATGGAGCAGTTGAACCAACAGTTCAATCTACAGAGGAGAGTCACCCTCCTGAACAGGCTGCAAAAGAAATGATTAAATCTGTAGTTGAGGTCTCAGTGGAGTCATCATCTGACAAGACTGATGTGACTGATGCCAAGCCAGGAGAGGATAGCGCTCTCCAAGAAAGTGTTGAAAAAGTTGCAGAGTTATTGGCAGAATCTGAGTCTGAGTCGCCCACTCAAGCTGTTACAGAGGAGAGCTGTGAGAAAGATGTTGCAGAAGAAACTGTTGAAGCCACAGCCGCTGTGGAGTCGTCTCTTAAGACTCCTGATGTGACTCAAATGGAAAAAGAAGAAGCTGCCCCCGGCAGCCACAAGGAACCAGTCCCTGACTTAGGTGCAGATACTGTATCTGTATCCCCCACTAAAGTTGCTGCTGAACCTGAAGTGAAGTCTGTGGCATGTGAAGAGTCTGCAGCCTCAGCAGAGCCACTTTTAAAGACAACAGTTGAAGAGGTAGTTGAATGTGAAATCCAGCCTGTTGTCGAGCAAAGTGTTGAACCAGCTCCTGAGAGTGCTGCAGATCCTGTGGTGGATGATGCTGAAGCTGCTCAGGATACATTCACCTACAGGGTCATTGAACTGACAGATGCATTAGATGAGGAGACGGCCACTGATGAAGTTGCTCCTGAACCTGCGACAGACCTGAAAGAAATCCACACAGAGGAGACAAAAGTGATCCAAGACCCTGATGTTATAAATGAGTGAGTGAGCTCTCATAAACAACAGGAAACAAAACATATTAATGTGGAATATTCATATCTTTTGACTTATCCCTTGCCTATTACTTTTATTTTGTAGCTCTGAAGTGATACAAAAGCCTGTGGAGGAGCAACAACCAACATACACTCTGAAGGAAACCAGGTAATGTCTCACTTTAAAAACAACTCTTTAGAGTTAGGTCATGCAAAGTAGGGTCTTCAAGTACCTTTTTGTTTGTTTATTGGTGTAGATGCAAAGTTCATACACAAAGGGGATACTCTTTTTAAACACGTTCTCTCTTCTGCAGCAATGGAATACCTTTTTGTTCGTTCTGTGACAAAATAATTGATGGAAACATAAAGATCAGCTTCAGTGAACCTCTGGTGAGGTGCCACCCTGACTGCCTCAAGGTTTGTTCTTCTTCTTCTCTTGTAAGGAAACATACTGCTGTTGCTTTGTATTGAATCTGACAGGCTCTCGTCATTGCATAATTTTAAAATTGAGTGTTTTTTTTTCTTCTGCAGTGTGGTGTGTGTGCTCAGGCCCTGGGAGATTTTCTGACCCCCATGTTTTTGCATAACCAAGTGATCCAATGTGATGGCTGCTTTGCAAAAGCTCTCAAGACCTAAAGCCTAACTGGGACAAATATGTCATCAGAGAAGACCCAGAGCGTTCTGTGATTAATGTGTTGTTTGGAGTGAGAAACTCACCACTGCTGCCTTATCTGTGCATTTCCACACTGGGTTATTTTTTAAGGACATGGTGCATTGTCAGGGGAAGGGATTCTGTTTGGATTGAAACACTTTCTTTTATTGCAACATTGCATACTGGTTTAAATAAAATGACAGATTACTGCTTGAGATTTAAATGGTTTAATCAGCCTTAATTTTAAATGAGCACACACACATACACACACGAATCACCTGGAGGCCCGTTATTGAAGCATCAACACCTCAGGAACTTAAAAAAAAAAGCATAATTGAAGCAGTAACCAAAAAACATCTCCAGTAAAATGGGTACGCTTTTTTTGTTTCATCTTACTCAGTGCTGTTCAAGCAAAGCAGAAATGTATTATGAGTGAATTCAAAGTACATGTATTGTGAGTAAAAGTACAAAGAGAAAAACTGTATGAGGATTCACCTTACACTCACACAGAACTTTGGTACATTCAGCTTCACTTGCTTTAGTTGATAATGAGGCAGCAGAAAAATCAGAATCAAATATATGCATCAGTAAACTCTGGGCGGATGATACGCAGTTATGATTTGCAAGGCGAGCTGTCATCGCTTTTAATTATTCATGAAACGTCGTACATCACAATCTGACAACAGCATCAGCACCGATGAAGCTTCACAAAAAGTATCAAATGAGAGACACGTCCCGCGAGAGGGAAAATGAACAACAAAGCCAAGAGAATCATCTGAGGAGAGGAGAGGATTTGTTGCTGGATGTGCTGGGTGTGAGTAATTTTCATCTCTCTGTCTGTTGTTCATACGAAAAAATTACGTCTGTTATATGAGATGTCTGGAGAAATACTTAAGGTTTTGAACGGGCTGAGTCCCAGAGGATGAATGCTGCATGTGCTGACTTTCCCTCTGGGATCCAGTGGATAGGGGTTGACTGGGTTGGAGGTGTTGCCGTTAGCGGACCCCTTTCCTGCCCAGGAACCTCAACACTGCGTAGTTGTAGGTGGTGGCAACCATGTACAGGAACTACAAAGGATGACATTCAGATGGTGGTATTAATAGTAGAGCAAATATCAATGCATGGTTAACTACAAGGTTTGAAAAGTACTTTTTTAACGGGCCAGTACACATTATAGAATGAACATTTACTTTCTTACATCAATAGGTATCTAGCTATGAGAGTAGTTTTGTTTGGAGTAAGGTTTTAGCTTGTTTTTTTGTTGTACTAAGTAACTTTTTTATTATGAGGTATATTATTTTGATTTTTTTTACATCACCAACACTCATATACAAAAAAATCTTACAATCTCATTACTGAGACAATATATAGAGACGGAACAAACTAGACAAAATGTAACAGAAAATGCAACATGACAACACAAATGATTTTGTTTCTCCTGTACACATACCACTGACTACGGCGATATCCTTCTAACTTTACATATTTCAGATTTACTGTGAAGTATAGGTCGGGACTTTTTCATCAGTAGGATGCAGGTTCATTCATAACTAGTTTTTTTTCTTTTATTCATTTTTTTCATTGTTTAATGCTTGACTTTCATTCATCTCATCTCATTTGCTGGGCAGACAAATATTTCTGAACCTGGCCAACCCAAAAGACTGAACTATGTGAATACGTCGTACTACAATTAAACATGTCATGTCTTTTTGTAAGTTGGGTGAACTAACCTTTAAAAAGTAAGCACACTTGAATCAAATGTAAAGTCTGACGGACTGAGTCTAACTCCCTCTGAGTCTGAGTCTTACCAAAAAGCATCAAAATGTCAAAGCAGTTGCTCACCAGTGCTAGGAGAGTGATCCCGGCACCAGCAAATGTGGCAATGTACAGGTCATAGGTGACATAGAACTGTAAAAAATGCCAAACAGAGTTTAGTTCATATTTATTCAAAGAATTAAACACATTACTTGTATTTTTGTGTCTTTTTATTAGATACAAATGCTAATTCTCTTACACAGCCATCCTCATTCAGAAGATAAATTGATTCTGCACAATGTTTTTAAAATGAGGAAGCAGATTTGAAATACTAAAGAGTTCGATTGGATTCATCTACTCACTTCGCTGGTTTTGCAAATAGATGCCAAGGTCATCCCACAAGCTTTTCCTGGCATCGCGTTCCACGGGAGCAGACCTTAAACGGAGACATGACGTAAGTACCTCTGACTGTCGCTGAATCATGATGAGTTATGACGCATTTTAGTTCTAACTTGCACACAGCAAATCCGGGAAAACAGTAGTAGATCAAATAAGATAAAGGTGTAGTTATCTCCATCATTTTACAACTTATCCACTAACACATTTAGATTCTCCAGATCTGGTCAGTCATTACATAAACAACTCACCGAACTGCCTGGCGTCCATGCAGATCCAGCCGTGCTGATTGATGCTGGGGGTGGTTTCAGCCAGGATGTTGACGGTGTGGCAGGTCTGCTCCATGTTGAACAAGAAGTAGACCGGGATAGCAGACAAGGCGAAGACAATCAGCCAGATGAAGGCCAGGATGTACGTCACAACGATGAACTGGAGAAATAAAAAAAAGTGCATGGAAATAGTTTAAGTATCATCATATCATTAAATCAGCTATCAAACCAGAGTTTGTGATTCTGCTGAGAAGCTTTCAAAACCACAGACTGCATTCGACTTTGTTTTACAATATGATATATTTAACATCATTATTTCTTTTTTTTTCTTTTTTTTTATAAATGTAAATGGATAGAATTGGCATAATAAATCAGCCCAGCCCCAACATTCAATAATGCTTTATGTCTTCTTAAATATAACAACAAGATGTTGTTTCTCGCAATGAAGAATTTAAAATAAATCGTATTCATGTCAGGACAGTATTTAGGTTCTGGTGATACACAAGACTTGAACTGATGACTGAGATGGCTGTGGCTAAAAAAACCACGAACAATAAAAAGATATAGGCCATAACATTTGGCATAGTGTGTCTCATACAACCAATCATTTCACAGTAATGTCTTAGATCTCTGGAAATTGTCTGATCCCTTTCTTGGGGCATTAATTAAGTTAATTTGAATGAAAGATTCCTTTCTTTATGACAGATATGCTTTCTAACTGTTGCCTCAAAATATGATATTAGATTAAAAGAGTGTATCAAAGCCGTTCATACCCTCTGCAATCAGATAACAAAATGCTCCCAAAGATGAATTGTTCTTGACAGTCTTTTTATCCTTTGATCATGAAAAATCCTGTCATCAAGACGGCTCTTTAGATTTTTTTTTTAACTAAGTTTCTTTGTGGCCTACTTAATAACAGTACTTCTTTTAGAACTTATCTCATATTTAGCACATATGTATAATTTATTGTTGTCTGCACGCACTGTTTTCTTAATATAAAAACTGAACCAAACCAATCACCGCTAGTGGGATTTATAAAGTTGGTTGAATTAGCAGTGAAGAAATCGCTATGGATCCTCTGAAGCCTACATGGTACAAGTTGGCAATGATGTCATAACCCCCCCCCCCTTGTTATTCTCACCGTCAGGCTGAGGCAGCGGCCACAGTGGGTGCTCCTGAATTCACCAAACGTCTGCTTGACAGCACTGGTGGCGTAGAAACCCTCAGCCAGCAGAAGGATGCCAAAGAGGAAGAAGAATGATGCAAGGCCGTAGATGACGTACTGGAAGTATTTGATACTGAGAAGTTGGGAAGAAGAAGCGGGAGTAATCAGAACAATTTAACAATTCTCAACATTCCAAAAACCACACTCTAGATGGTGAAATGAAGTGTTACTCACAAGGAGGCCATGATGGCAAAGTCCTGAACATTGCGGGCAAAGTAAGTCTCCACCAGGACTGCGGTGTTGGTCAGCGCTTCATGCCCACAGCCACAAAATAATGCCATGCCAGCATAGCACAGCAAGGTGGCCACCAGGGACGGGTAGGGCACTGCCCCGAGGCAGCGGATACAGCAATCATAACAACCTGAGGGGGCATAATAAATCAGCACACAGGCGGCACACACCGCACATATTACCACACAGCACATCTACGCCACTGTGGGGGAGCTATGAAATAGGCCTTGCTCTGTCTGCACATCCATGTACACACACCCCAAACTCAGCAAGAGGCAAAAAAAAGCAACAGAACAAAAAAAAATGATGCAGTAGTTCAAGCAAAGTTCAAGCAGCGACTCCCATCAAAAGCGTCCAAACAAAAGTGTCTTCACATCAATCTCATGCACCTCTTCCAGTGTAAGCAGTGCTGTTGAAGCAGGTAGCAAACATCCACAGTGTTAATAAATGCATTGGCAGAAATGGGATAGAGGAAAGCACCTAAGGCTTTGCAAAGCCAAGGCTGCCTGACCGGAAACATTTGCTGCTTCTGATCCTGTGCTCCACAACAAGAAAGATCCCAAAGCCAACCAGGGATGAACAAATCTGCCTAAAAGCTTTTCCTAAAAGTAAAATAAGCCCCTCTGACACGCTGATTTCATCCGCATGTGAAAGGTCCTTCGCCTGTACCAACACCTCACAGCACAAATCAGGTCCTGCCCTCTGTCTCCAGTGGTCACAGGCGTCACCAGGCAAAAGTGAGAGATGGTGGCCTCAAGAAAAGGCTTCTCTTTGTGGCTGCAGATAGAATATCCATTGTTTTTTTAGCCACGTTCGGGGAGGAACAAAGGGCAGCGATGTCAAACAAACAAAGGCAATAGTGCCACAATACACACACACACACACACACACACACACACACACACACACACACACACACACAAACACACAATGTAATAAGTTGTGGCAGTGGGGTCACCAGGACTGCATCTACACCACAGGCAATGTCACTACTCAAGCCATCCTCCACCCACAGATGGCTGAGACTGGTACCACTGAGAGTTGATGCCAGCAGAGGGTGTATTCAAGTGTTCAAAGAGCAAGCAGATCTTTATGAGCAAGGGGCAATTTGAATGGATCCACAACAACAACAACAACAACAACAACAACAACAACTTAAAATATATAAAATAAGAGTTATGTAGTTTTAAATGTAGAAATCGGACCTGATTCAGAGGAACGAAAACATTCAGATATTTCACAGATAACAGGATTTTAGTGGGAGGAAACACTAAGTATGTTAAACAAACTACTTCTAAAGTATAAATAGAAGCAGCAGAATGAGGACCCCAAATATGATTGTGCCCGTGGACGCCCACTCTTCAGCTGTGTAGTTACATTAACAAAGTGACAGAGGCCATTATAGGCCTCTTTATTCAGTGCACAAACCTGCATAACAGAAACAGTAGATGCCAGGTTGTCAATCAGGACTGGAAATCTGTTATAAAATGTGCAAAAGAAAGCCCACGAGATGCCTGTGAGTGAGAAAAATGGTTGGCAGAAGTTGTTTTGGGTCCTCAGTTCTCATGGAGAATAGTTAATTTATGCCTGCAAAACATGTGGGAGTATTTGACCTCTTTCACATGAGTGACCTGGCATGGCCCTGGCATGATGAGACTGTTCGTCTCTGTCTGCAGCTCTGAGTGCAGTCTGCTTTATGGGTTAAAGGGTTAGACGAGGTAACAAGGACTGCTCTCTTTATTCAAAAGCAATAAATCCTGAGAGACTGTGCTGTTTTCTTCTCAATCTTCTGAAATTGTCGTTGTATGTTAACAAACATCATATATGAAGAATAAGAGCAAAGTGTGATTGTATGAATAATCCATATGTGGATATAAAAATACTTCAACACAAGGCTAAAGCAGCAAATCTCTCCCACGGGGCAGAAGGGCAACACGATGACTGAGGACAGCAAGGATATATTAAAGGCAACATTAGTAAGTTATTGAAATCCACATTTTCAAATGGCATTAATAATAGATGATAAGAGTTATTAAAAATTCGATCCACTCACCCATGTCGAGAAAGAAGTGCGCGGGTTATTGAAGTTTTGCTGGTTGGCTTTGTGACTCTGATATGAGGATATGAGAAGTTATTCCCCGCCACTCCTATATGAATCTGACTCGCGCTTTTGTCTCATCAACAATAGATAGAGCACATCTCCCCGAGTCACATCTTAAAGTCACAAAGTCCCATTTCAGCTGCCAGTCATTATTTATAGAGCCATGGGTGCAGGACAGGGGACACAGAGCAGCTCACAAACTTGAATATGAGAGTTTATTGGTATTTGGGGATGTTTTCTGTATTTCAGATGTTCTGAAAAATTCTTGGTGCATACTTTAAGTAGACAAATACACATGAATTTTGATAGATATTTATGTAATATTACAATATGGCAATTAAGTAAGAATTTGACTTTTGCTATGGTCAGTTAGAAATATTTAGTTTTCTTATGCAAATGAAAATGTATTTAAACTTAGTTCAGCGCTTTCAGTTTATGTTAACCCACAGAGTTGTTAATTTTTGTGCATAGTAACTTTTAGGGTGACTTCAATTACCTTTCACAACAACAACATGCTATGTAATCCATCTGCACACACACATGCTAGACATCAGTAAATTGGATTGAACATGTATAAGCGGCATCTTGAGAAACAAGGAAAGAGAAGAGGACTGCACAGACAAAATAATGAAATAAATTGAATCGGCAGTGACTGACATGGATAAAGTTGACTAACAAGGGTGACATTGACGGTCGGATCCAGCTGCTGCCCTCCTTCCCTCCCTCCCGCATGTTTGACCCAGTTGATGTCAAAGCTGGGATCAGTACAAAGAAGCCAGTGTGGAGCAGGAGGAGAAAACACAATTTTTTTGGAGAAGACCCTCATCCTATTTTTGCTTCACATTTTAGGCCCGTGTCAAAATGAAAATAACTGAAAAATACATGATCTACTACAAAGTATTATACTATATTGTTTTATATTTAAATGAAACACTATTAAAATTGTACTCTTGGTGTAGTAAAATGTATTGCAAATGAAGCTAAAGACACGTTGACATTTCAACGACCCAGCTAGATAATCCTCCATGTAACAATCTTGTTCCACGAACAAACAGGCCATGGACTCACCACTGTTAAGATGATGTCTTTTAAAAATAAAGCTGACTGATTGGTAAATTGTTTGGTTTGAGTTTACAGTCTCTAAAAAACACAAAACAATGACATATCAAATAATAAGTATGTAGAAAGGAATAATGACATCCACTTTGTTAAGCAGTGAGGGAAGGGTAAAAGAGGTCAATGCCTTTGAAATCTCAGAAAAATGTGTGTGAGAGAGAGAAAGAGTGAGAGAAGGAGAGGAGAGCATTAATTAACCTCTGTACTGCATGTGAGGGCTCAGAATGGCTGTCAGCTTTACTTGAGAGATGTAAATTAGCAATAATGTTGATTATCAAAGGCGGGGATTAGGTAGGAGGACAAGTTTTAGAGGCTTGCTTTAGCTGGGATGACATGAAGAGAGCGATTCATTCAGTTATGAATAAAGCATATTCCACAAAAGCTGAAGCAGATGGAGGTCACGGATGTAAGCAGCTCAGATGATGAATTATTGGGTAACACTTAGTAGAGCCGCCTAAAAGTCATAAGTAAAAAAATAAATAAATGCATGATCTGTTTTGAACTAACATATTACTTGCCAAGCTTTCAAGTGAGCTCTAAATGTTATTATGCAAAAATCCCTATCTCTCTTTATATGTGCATAATCAGATAGAAATGGTATATATATCATAATCAGCACCATGGACAGCATCCACTTCATTGTAAGATTACCCTAATGCCCTGTATACGAATGCACTGTGACTACATGTATAACATTGCACAGTGATCTTTGCTTGAGGTTTTTAATTTTTTTTATAATAACTGTTTGCTGTGCGATATAGCCACATGCTAATATTTACGCAGTGAAAGTGCTCATTTGCATGTGTTTAAACAGGGGAGGAGTGGGAAAGGGATGTATTTGCAACCACCTTCTATCCCCATTATGGTAATGTGTTATCATGTGACCAAAGGAGCAAACAGACAAAAAAACTAAAACAAACATAGTAAGCACTTAGGGGACAAAGACACATGAGGTTTGATCAAAAGTGGGCTCAGTGGCTTTGACCTCCTCTGTTTTGGGTTTGAATTGTATGACTTGTAAAGGTATGACTTATCTGTTCCCCATTAAGTAAGGTGTTCATTTGTGAGTGTGTGTGTGTGTGTGTGTGTGTGTGTTCTGAGCCTCTGTGTTCTGCTTGGGAAGCATCCAGCCATGAGGCACCAGGTTAAAACGTCTTTAAAGATTACCCCTAAAATTGCAGCAAGAGCAGAGCAACAGCAGTAGGAAACAAATTCAGGTCATGTCCAGGGACCTGAAAAGTAGGGGTGCCGAAACAATTATCATAAAGTTAGCAGAACAGAAGGCTAACATTAGCTTAAGAAAGCCATTGTGAGCAAGGCTACTGTTACACAAAACGAAATTATGTTGTCAAGGTAGAAACATTAAGATTTCAACGTTTCTTCATGAAATAATTTTCCTCTCCAAAGCTGTCCAACATTACCGCCAATAAAGTCCATCAGCTAAAAAGTTGGGTAGGATATTTAGGCTTGTGAAAACAGAAGGGTTATAATATTGTTTTTATCATACATTAGTTTAATTGAACTGACTTAAATTACGTCAGACACTGGACTAATGGCACTTTTCTTGGCTGCCTACCTTTAAACTGGGGTGAATACAGATCCTCTGTGCTGCCGGGATGAAGATCTTTGGAAAGTTCCTTCATCATGGCTTCACTATATTGTTCAATAATAAACAATATATTGGCCCAGAATTTACACATATAGTTAACTCAGTTTTTGGTAACAATCATAAACTTTCACAACTTTCTCATCTATTAGCAGTCATTACAGGCTCAAAGATATGATGCCAACTCTAAAACTGTTGGGAACCTCCTACTTTTTGAAACACATTTTAGTCCCGGAATACCTACATTAACCATATGATTGATCAAATCCCAACTTGTGACAAGAGTCCTCCTTAGTTTTAAAAATCTTTAATAGTTGTCTCATGTAGATTAAACAACATATGATAGGTTCAAAGAAATCAAATTTCAAAGCTTAATATCATCATGTCAATTCAGTAATGACTGACCCCTGTTTATGTGGTGGTATGCACAGGGTCCAACCACTAAGAGGAGTGATAATCTTTAAGTTTCATGAAACTCCTTTTAAATTTTGAATAATTGAGTTGGTATACATACAATTACAATGTAATTACAGTTATCCCTCTGAAGACCTTACAGTATCATAATCATCAAAGGACAAATAAAATGCAGGTCTAAGGTTATTCTGTACAAAGAAGGCAAGCCAAAAGAACCATGAGTTGGTTGGAGTAGGAAACACATCTGAAGCGATTTTCTTTTCATAGTAAAGCAGAAGCTATATTTCTACAATGTATTGAGCAAAAAATTAAAGACACATGAAGCAAAACATATAGCAAGGATACTCAAATAGACTACAATAGATTACACGACAATACATATGCCAAACTGAATTATAGAATCCAAACAATGCCTAATTTACAGTTTTCTAGCGCAATTGTCAGTTCATACACACACACACACACACACACACACACACACACACACACACACACACACACACACACACACACACACACACACACACACACACACACACACACACACATTCAATAACCCACACATACACCCAACCACCCACTGGCACACATTTGGGTGCTATATTTTGCACTACCAGAGAGATATTTCACCGCATGTGTGAACAGTATTTGAGGAAAATCTTGTCCATTGCTGTTGTGATTCCACAGTAAATCCTTATGTGAGTGGTTTACAAGGCATTTTAAAGTATTTACAGTAAAAATACAGTTCATTATAAGCAATGTACCATGAGAAATATGTATAAAATAGCTTGATAATATCAATAATAATCATAATAATACAGCTTTCCGCCCAGATCTCCCCTCCGTCCACCTCGTGTTGTAATGTCACTTTGTTCCACAAGATGAAAATATATATCACAGAGTAAGAAAAAGCTTCCCATACAAATCCAACTGTATAAACATTATACTAAGTTCTTGCTAGGTAAAGTTCCAAAAAAGCCATAGTGGAAAATGAAATGCACTTTTTCTTTTTGTCTGCCTTTGAAAATGATTATTAGAAAATGACTCTGCAGTTACACTTCCTATTATGAGAGAGCAAAGGCAGGATGTAGGCGGTAGTACACCTTTGGAAAAGACAGAACAAACATAATCAATCCTATTTTACCTACACAGCCTAAATACAGCTTTACATTTCCATGTTTTGCGTACAACACAGTTTCAAACTCCAGCTCCTTTGGTCTTTTGCCAGGCTATACCCGTGTGGTAGAGTGGGTGCTGGGCAAGCCTGCGGAGCTGTAACCAGCAGGGAAGGTGCTGTATGGACTCATGTTGGACAGGCCCATCAGGGAGTTGGGGATCATGGTGATGTTGTTGGGCGTCATCAGAGGGATGTCGTCAGGGGAGCGGCGATGGCTGAGCGAGTAGTCCATGCTGGGCGAGACGTGAAGTGGGTTGTGAAGGGCCTCGCACTGGTTCCGTTGTGACGACAGGGTCTCATCGATGGTGGTGGTGTGGCCCACGTTGTTGCCCTTGCTGTCCCGCTGAGGACTGGGCTGCTGGGATGTGTCCTGCCGACTGCGCTTGTCCTTGCGATAGTAGAGAGCGGCGAAGGCCAGGACATTGAGGAAGAGCAATGATGCCCCTACGGCGATGGTGACACTGAGCTCTGTGGAGTAATCTCTTGGGTTGGGCATGATCAGCGGACCCATCTCTCTCCCGCTTTCACCCTCGTTAAGGCCGTTGGATAAAGGAGGTCTGCCGGTGCTGCCGGGCCTCTTCCCGTTAGACTGGGTGGGATCCAGCGGTGTGACCTTGGTGGTGGTGGAGGAGTAGTGGAACATGTCATGGAGGTTGTAGAGATGGGGCACCAGGTGTTTCCAGAAGGCCACCTTGGTTGCACGGTAGTGATCCCGGATACGAGGCTTCAAGCCGATGTGAAGGTACAGCTGGTCGTAGGGGTCATACTTAGACCACGCTACCTCCTCAAAGCGGTTTGCCTTCGTGTGAATGAACTTCGTGTCCTGCGGCACTGGCTTGTTTGGATCCCTATGTACACATTAAAGAGAAAAAACATGAAGGATAAAGAAAAAGAGGTGGAAAAATCCTTAATGAAAGTAGCCTTTATGGAAAATTTTGGTAGGAACTTTTTCCAAATACTAGGCACTGTTAATTTGTCTTGAGATAATATACGAGGTAGATATATAAGAATGTGTATCTCTTAAAAACCTGATTAAAAACAGTTTAGCTGTTTTGACCTTTTCCCAAGACTATGCATGTGAAATCCTGTTTTGATTGATACCTCACTAGTTTTGACATACATCTCTCTGGCTGTGGGCACAACAACAGCCAATTTGAAAATAAGGATATCATGTTTGAGAAGTCTGGTTAGGAATCAGGCCAGGAAGCAGAGGCTTTTTTTTTTTATCTGAAAATTATTCATGCCAATTAGTCACCAGATTAGGCTTTGCTATCCATATCACAGTACAGTAAGCATACACATGAATCTTTTGCCTAGATGCTAATGTTTAATGACTACCTCTTTTTTTTCCCCCAAAAGCTGTTATGGTGATATCTTTAGCTTTAGCTAACGCCATACTTTTTGGGGAACAAAACTGCCTCTGCACATCCACCACCAAAAATACATAATTAAAGTTGACACAACACTCGCAGCCAAAAATGGTCACCCATGCTGAGTGTTGATAGCCTAAATAACGACTGGTTAGCCAAATTTAAAGGCAGGGTTGGTAATTTTCGAAAACTAGCCTGATTTTGAAAGTAGCATTCCCTTAGTGCTCCGTCTGCACCCACCCCTCCCCTCTGTGCTCCCTCAACAGCCACACCCCTCACTTACATGCACAAGCGCCATTGGTCCAAAGGCATGATATGATTGGTTCATCAAATTGGTACCTCGTGGCAGACATTGGTCAAAGTTTTTACATGCTTACAAACTTCTACAGATGATGGATTTTCTGCGTTCCTTTTTCAGAGCACATGAGTTATTAATGTCTGTCAAGACATGAAGAAAATTTCAACCAAAATCTTAAAAGGTGTATCTGGAGAAAATGACCAACCCTGCTTTTAATGCATGATTTTTGTAACAAATCACAGAGTAACCATGTCCATTTTAACCTTAGTTCAGGGTTATCACAAAAACGTAGGTGAGAAAAATGTGTCTTTTCTAAAATTTATATATGTCTACTGTTTACTGTAACCCAACCCTATGGTAAATGGTGAGCAGGCTATTGTGGATTTTGGATTTTAATGCCAAATGGATTCAGAACAAGATGTATTTAAAAACTTCTCGTGGATTTTTTCAAATAGATTTATAGACATTTTATTTCATCATTTAATAGTAAATTAAACTGTTAAAGGAAAGCAACCTTATTAATGGTGTGCTAATGAAGAAAAAGACTAAGGGCAAAAAAGTAGGGCAACACAATGTAATATCACTATGTCTCCTCAAGGGCTCAGCATTCCCTTATGCCGTCACACTGAAACAGCAGCCTGCAGTGACCCGTGGTGCGTCCTCCTGCTGCTGAGGGTCATCCTCCACTAAGACTCAATGCAGCTGTACATGTGAACTGCAGCGAGGACATCAAAGGAGTCCTCCACAACAGTGTGAATCACTTAGGTGTCTCTTATCTTTTAAAACAAGAAGAAATCTTTACCTCTCTATGACAAATCGTATAACAAGCTGTCAGAGGGAGAGCTGCAGAGCTTCACTCTGGTGCACTTTAACAGCATGATACTCCAGTGCTGAGTCAGTGAGAGTGTGATATCAGACAACATCAAATCATAGCCTGTCAGAGACAATAAACTTTCATGGCTGAAATCTTTATAAGGCTTAAAAATCAAAAATGTTTGCTAAAGAATATTTATAATCCAAAACAGATACATTGCATGTGCCAAAAGGAAGCCTAAAGAATGCATATGTGTTTTGTCTCTCTGTAATCCAAAATAAGTGCTTGACATCCATTGTTAAATAGGTTAAGAAGAGTTTATCTCTGCTATATATATTATATTCCCTTTGTGTGTTTTTAAAAACTTGTTGTATACCGGATGTAAACTATATATTTATTGTTAATATTATTTTGTTCTTATTATATTTAATTATTGTCAGCCCATTTTTGTTTTTGTTTTATTACATTTTCCTTTTTTGTGAGCTCTTTTACTGGGGCATTAATAAAGTGTATCACTAATTTATGGTACAAAAGTATAAATACATTTATATTAGGTACCACTTACTAATTACTATCAGTAATGTGTAATACAGCATGCTACATTTTGGCATTGATTATTTTTGTCACCACTACTTGAAATCACAACATGCTGAGGGTTTGTGGTATACATTGTAAAGAGCATTTCATTCAACAGTGCTTTAACTATTTATGTGACTGAAGCTGTAACCTTTAAAGATCAATCATCTTTAGAAAGTCTGCCCAAAGCGATGAAAATCTGCTTTGTGTTTAAAGAGAGTTTACACAGAAGGCTAACTTGGCTCTTAAAAGAAAAGACAACATGGCATTTGAAACAGCTTTCCTTGGATTGCGTGTGTTGTCTGTATTCTACAGTTTCATCATTTTATTCGACTATACAGTCAGGCAGAGAGAGAAGGAGCCAGTTCTTTACATTGATGGTGAGGTCAAATCAGTTCGAGCAAGCAGAAGCTAAAAGTAAGATGTGGTTATTTAAGAGAGCTAATTCCAGAATTCACATTTGTTTGCACCACTTATCACAGACAAGATCTTGTTAACTAACAAGGTTGATACGGTTTTGTTTAGCTGAATCTCACTGTCATTTATGGTAAAGGAATTCAAATTGTAGTAGAAATCAGGAATCAGGGAAATCAGGTGCCAGGTAAGGTCTTGAGGTCAATTGTGTTATTGAATCATATTTTCATCCAACTATAGTAAAATATCCAGCATTCAAGTAAAATGAACTTGATTCCTGTTTTGCTGCTACTCACCCACTCTTAGCAAAGTTGGTCCAGTAAGTCATGACCACAGCGCTGAGCATGATGTCGTTCCTGGAGAAGTTACAGGGGAACAGATCAGTGGGACCCACCATGGGGATGCCAAACACGTAAGGCACCTCGTCTCCATGTGCAGAGTCTGACCACACCGGCTTCATCAGACTCTGGCAGTGGTGGTAGAAGGCGTAGAAGTAGGTGGGTGAGCCGTAACGGGCATGCAGGTCAGCTGTCACCACTGAGGGCTCCACCCACTGGTGGTCGGTAAAGAGAGCCACTAGGGTCTTCCTCCTGGTCTCTGGGTTGTCCTTGTCCGCCCAGTCTGTGTACATGAACTTAATCGTCTCCCTCAGTGTATCCTTTCCTTCTGGGTAGCCATACAAACTGTCCACAAAGTCTGACACAGCAAAGTCAAAGTCACTGCCAGACACGCCGTCCTCCAGGTCCATCACATTCTCCACAAAGCGCAGTCCCTCGCCCTGATTGACACCCAGCATTATGTCATAGTTAAGAAACTCGCCCTGTTCCATCAGGATTTCTGGGTCGTCTGGGATGACGTCTCCGTCGATAACAGGGCCGAAAGCCACGCGGTATCGGGCAGCCTGGATGTCTTGCTCCACGAGCTCCTTTGCACTCTTCTTCTGTAGGCAGGAGACCATGTCCACGGTGTCGAGCACGTTGCAGCCAACCCTCTCAGCTAGCATGCGAGTATACTTTACTGGTTGGTAGTTGACAGCCCAGCTCGACAGGGCCGACCCGCTTTGGATAATGGCTCTGTGGAACAAACCTTGGAACACAAAAAAACCCAAGAACAACAATAGAAGGCCGGAAAAGAAGAGGTTAGTGATTTAAAATTCACATTATTAGTTTAGCCTGACACATACAGTAAACCTATATCTGTTAGCCAATACTGCTGACTCATAATGGTCTATCAAAGATATATGGGCATGTTTCTGTTTTCAATGTGTGTTGATAAGAACACTCTTTTCACAGAGCATAATATACATTAAACAATGCTAGGGGTGGTTTTGAAATGATGACATCAGGCACTTTGTCTGCTACGACTACATAGTTAACAATACTCTCAACACTGTCTGCAGCACACGTAGCAGAGCATCACAGCTGATGCGGACAGCGTTTGTAACGTTTTATAATGTTAAATTATCTTTAATCAAGTTTCTTTTTTCCCAAGAAAGCAGGGTGTCCCCTTTTAGAGTCATACAGTATCAGCACCAAATGATCCACATAAAAAAAAAAGTTCCCACTCAAAAATTCACTTTGCTAATCATCACATCTTTAACTTTCCATTCTCGAATACCCTATCAGCCTAATATGTGATTTTCTTTTTTTTTTTTAACACAGACCTCTAAAGGCTGCTCCCCAAGCAAATACAAGATTCACTTTAAACTCATTGCTATTCATAATTAAATCAAAGGTTTGTTAGTAAAAAAGAATGGCTAAATGTGATTTACTCTGAATACTAGCCAGATAGTTAAACCAGTCTAGTGTGAGGCTGCTCTGTGAACTGGGTGTTAGAAAGAAGTGTACTGGTATTAGGATATTGGCCCAGTCTATTGTAAAATATAAGAAAATAAAATTGCTTTTCGCTTTTGATTCTCTCATATGTTTCACATGTTGTCATATACTATATATATGGCAATGAATACAAGTCAAAATAATGATCAATTTGCATCACTGTTTCTGTGTGTGGGAGTCTACTTTTATGTATACCAGTTATTCAAAGGCACACTGTAATTGTGGGATTGTTAATACTGTGTGTCTAACAAGCTGCTTAGCTTACATATACACTGCTGATGCCAAGTGTGCAGTGGAGGGTCCGTGCTGGGAGCTGAATATGCAGTAACCCTGATCCTTCAATGTTGATACAGTAAACATCACTCTGTTGAATTGTTTATATGCAGTGAGTCACCTCTGTCTCTGGGGATTTCTGTATCTACCACCTAAACTGACAAATGATATGTATCAACTGAAAAACACTCTGGTGAGGTTACCGAAGTCTTTGGGAAAAAGAGTGCAGAACCAGTGTCACTTTCAACCTCCTTTACTGTCATTTATTACTTTTTTTTTTTTTGGGATAGGGTGCAGCAGCTAGCTAGTCTACTTCAAAGACAGCCGGAGGTCTTTGTAAATTCACTGCAGCCGAGCTTGGGCATCAAATAGGAACCTTACAAAGGACAGTTGCCGCAGCCTCCCTGGCATTGATGAGAAAACACAATTTCTGCCCTTCTCGTGATTCTGTCCAGCTTCAATAGGACGGCCGGAGCAACAATACGGCAAAGATAAGAGGTTTTAATCCCAAGTGGGTCACCCATATTGAAATATGCCCCTCTGATTCCGGCAAGAAGCTTTGAACAAGTGTTAACCAAAAGACATGATATCGGCTAAAGAGAAAAAATGGGAAACTTTAACCTTTTTTTCTTGTAAGTTGAAATCCGATTCCAGTTTCCAGGATTCTCAGTATAACTTTGATTTTGTCCTTTTCCAATATGTTGTATCAACCGTTGATTACATATACTTGCACTTCAAATTTAACTAGAGCTGGACCATTTTCAAATAATGCTTCAGCTTATCTCTCTGAATATTAGCATTTACATAAATATCTGAAGAATCTTGATGTTTTACTGATCTTTCTTCATCCTTCAAACCAACTTTGTCTTTGGTAATCAGCATCTTCTCTCAAGTCATTTTACAGAAAGTGGTGAGAGGTCAATTTCAGCACGTACTGTTCTTATAAACCATGTTCTTATAATTCAAATATGAGGATTCAAAAACTACCACCGTGTAAATGAAGTAGAAAAAGTTAGGCCTAACATTACCAGCTGCTACATTAAAGCAGTGAAACTGTATGGATGATGCATTTGTGTATGTATATTTTGAGTACAATACTTTTGCACTTCACTTGAATTTGAAAAGTTTACACTTTAAAATACGTTGAAACAATGTGTTGATGTTTGTTTAGAGAACTATACATCTGCGCAGGCAGACAAAAAGAGAAATAAACAGATTTGAAGCTTATAGTAACATGAATCGTGTAGGAAAGCTAAGGGTCACAGGTAAACGTGATGACATGGTGCAAACTTTATAATGCCTGCAGCCATCTTTAAGAGCTTCACATTTGAAGAGGCAAAGCTTTTAGACTGATTAGACTGAGTATAGGGGGGAACAAAAGCAATCACTTACTTAACAAATTATTTATTCTACTCTCATATCATGACACTTCATCTCTCTGACAGACTATTTCATTCTGCACTTGAAACTGAGAAGAAATTAGTTAAAATTATTGTTTAAAAAGCGACATCTTCAAGATATGAAATTGATATGATTAAAATAAAATGAGATTTTACATCTAAAGTTTGTGAATTTTGACATTACTCTTGAATCATTAGTAATTAATTCTTCAACTTTAACTACAAATAAATCAGTATTGAGATCATTGAGGAGGTGACTGGCAGGTTCTCACCCTCAGAGTGGTGCGACAGAGTTAGCAGACTGACACAGGAGGCACCGATTCCCGATCCAAAAACAGTGATGCGACCTGGGTCTCCTCCAAAGTATCCAATGTTCTTACTGATCCAACGGAGAGCTTGGATTTGATCCAGGAGTCCGTAGTTTCCCTTTGCAGCCTGGTCCCCGGTACTAAGGAAGCCTGAAGTATATGAAGACACAACAGTGCTGAAGAGGAGATCCACAGTATCTGTAACAGCTTTGATCTAAAGTTGTAGCCCAGCAGGGCATCGGAATGAACTGACACCGTTTCCCCTCAGGTGCAAATACGCCTCTGCTCTCTCCCAGTGTCTCGACTACTTTAGTCAACTCTTTGTAAAAGTCTCCATGCAGCTAGAGATATGGTCTCAGCTCTTCAAATCTTGCTCTCCTTGGATGGGACTTTATAAAATGTAATATGCCTAAAATCCTTAGCTTGTCCTTTCCTTTATGCATTTCATAAAACCACACAGAGGTCACTGGTTCTCTTACAATTGATCCTATTACTTATTCCCTTGTCTCATCTCATCTAAACAACACACTCTTTTGAATGTTAAACGCAGTGATATGAAAAACTTTTGACCTTGTGAGTGCTTGTGAATGCTGCATCCCTGCATACAGTATTTAAATCATTTTTCTTTGGAGAACAACAGAAGCTGATTATCTTGTACAGAATAGATAAGGAAGGTAAATAGTGTTTTCAAAAGAAGTCTTAAAAGTCTCTGTTAGACAAGGACAGAGCATGTATTTGCATCGATTTTCCCCTGAGGCCAAAGTTTGAAGGCAAATCAAACCATGCCAAGTCCAAGTTCTCAGTTGTCCATAATTTCATGAATTATCTCACATTTTAATGTCTCTCTTAGAGATGGACTGATACATCGGTTGGTCAATAATTTTTAGTTAATGTGGGACTATCACAAATGTATCAGTATTAGTTTGCATTTCCCAATTTAAGCTGATTGGAGGACTTGAAATTGCAGACATTAAATGCTTGAGGTGATTGGGACATGTTTTCATAATGCCGTTACAAAAATTGGCTGAAAATGTGTAAAAATTGAATATAATAAAGTTATTTTATAAGAAAAAAGTATCTTTACAGGCACATGTCAGTTATAAAGCCAGCTTAGAAGAGGTGAAATTTGCATTTTTTTCTATTTTGGCCAGCGATCCAAAATCAGAGTTATTTTTAACACCTTAATGTCAGTGTGGGTATCAGTTTTAAAAATCAATCATCTCTAGGGCTGTGGTCTGCACTTTTCAGTTCATAAAAGCAACAGAAGTGGAAATCAACAAGTTAAATCTGAGGGTCTAAAGACCGAATCTAAACTGTCATAAAAAGTTACCACACATCGACGCGTTCTTCACCTAATATTCCGATTCTGTAGTTGAGCGTAACGACAACAACATTTCCATAACTGGCCAGCACGCTGCCGTCCATCATGTTCCCCGTGCCCTCCATGTACGAGCCTCCGTGGATGTACACCATTACAGGTCGAGCTTCAGAGTCCCTTATATCTGTAACATCAACACACACACATACATAGATGCTGAGCAAACAACTGCAGAGGCAACAGTAATGAAACAGAGAGTTAATGGAGCACTGTTAATAAAACTTGATATAAACAGCATGAGTCAGAGGGAGATCAGTATGAGGTATGGGGGAACTGCTGCTTAGAAAAGGTGCTCAGAAGCAGTGGTGGGCCTGAGGTTTGGAAGCTGTAATGACATTCAGAAAATGCATGGGAAATACAATCTTACAAGGGGTGTATGAATAAAAAGGATTAAGAGTAATTAACCGCTTTAATACTACATGCTTAACTTTGCATTGTTGTGCTCTGAAAGTATCTGGTTCAGGGATCAAAAGAGTAAAGAATATATTGATATAACTTGTGGTTAGATCTCAGTTGAGTCAAATGTTCAATATTATAGAATTCTGAGTTTTTCAGTTTTTCATGCACAAATTAAGAAAATACATATTTTTCAGTGTAGACTTTATCATTTAAGTACCACATAACATTCAACTTTTGTTTTCAATGAATGCAATGTCAAAAATAAGCTTTATTTTTCACTAAATTACAAAATCTTTGCACCATGTTTGCAGCCCAACTAAATGTATTGACCATTGAAGGTCTTTAAAAAGGGAACTGTGAGACAGATAAGTAGATAATGCATCTCTGGATCAATCTGCACAGCAGCACAGATGTAGCACATATTGAGAGGATTGCAACTGTGCTCAATTCAAGACATGAGATGCAGCAAACTTATGTAATCATAAATCAGTTGACAACATTATTCTTACTCCTTCTCAAATAAAAGAACACCCGCAGTTCCTCAGTAAAGTAAAAATTGAAAGATCTTCATCCAAAAAAAAGAAGAAACTCAAGCCAAAAGAATCCATGCATCAAGATTGTGAGCTCTTGAAAAAATACCTTCAGATATATGAACCTCGGCATGTGAGAAAGCCGCCCCCTTTTTCCTGTGTTGGCTCCCTGGGATTCACATGAGGACAAAAAAGAAGTAGAGAATTCAAAATAGAGTGGTTGAATGTGTCTCTCTAATATGTATGATCTAATCAAACTGACAGAATCAGGGAAAAAGATCCATAAATTAGAGGCAGAAAGAAGATTAGCCCATTTACATACAGTATGTTTGCACTTTTTCCTTGTAATTGCTTTCTGACAAAATGTGGATGGCATTATGTTAAATCTTGAGAGATGCATGACACCATTACATTATGAGGTAGAGTTACAAATTCACAAGTGTCTGGAATCTGTTTTTTACCAAGTCAACAAAGCCTTGTTCCTTGTTATAAGTTTGTAGGAAATGGCACATTGTGTGTCTGTGCAAACACACAGTGTTACCTCTGAATGCTTTATTATCTGCATCATTATATTGACCCAGCTGCCTCTGTTTTGACAGTAGGAATACATCTTTCTTGGTTCATTTTATCACTCGGTGCAATTATATTTTAACACAAACTCTCATGTTGATTCTCTCACTGCAGCATAGTTATCCTGAGGATATATGAGGTACAGTGTATGGCTTATTGATGAATTATTAATGAACTATGACTTGATTGGGGCATCAGGGAACACAAATGAATATTAAATCATTTCAGAAATACACTCTTTCATTAAAACTGTTGATAAGTCAAAACAGCAGAGTTTTTTGCACCAGTAAAAACACATATAGTGCATTTGAAATACACAACGACACAGCCTAAAGAATGAGACTGTATGGAACCTATATGGGCTATGCTGTTTCCTCTGAATGCAACGTGAATGTAAATGTAAAATTTAATTAACCTGCTTGTGTGTGGGGTGAGGAGGCAGCACTTAGAACAGGAGCTTTATAAAACGTGGGCTGCTGCACCATTTTGGACAGCTCTCTCTCAAGCAGGCTGTTTATGTGTTGTTGCTACGCGACTATAGAAAAGTCAGTAAAAGAGTGCCGTGTTACATACAAAAGCTGAACACTGTTCAACTTTGAATGCTGGAAGTTGTGTATTATACTGCTGGCGAGGGAGGAAATACTCTGAATCCACAGAACAATGTTTAATTGGACCATTGCAGGAACCTGAATAAGAGTTTGTCAACACTACATGCAGAGAAGACATAGCAGTTCTTTGGTATGACCCTGGTCTGCTAATCTACAGATTTACAGCACACACATCAAATACTCCCTTGCTGGTTCATTTTGCAGTTTCTGTTATACAAAAATGGGATAAAACCAGCAAGCGATAGACAGGACTTGACTCCTGTATCTCACTAATTGGCCCCCAATAGACTCAGTGTCTGCACCAAGCAGAGATTCAGTAAAATATAAAGAATTTGTAATTTTTCCCAAACATGGCAGCTGGGTTGTCTAGCTTCTCCTTTGTAATCCTTCATGATTACATTTGAAGCTCAGTGATGGTCCCCAAATATGCTGGGATCATCATTTTTAAGGCTGAAACTCTGTTTCCTTGGACCAATACTTACACCTATACAACACCTACCTCAGCAATATTTTGTTGTGCGTATATTAGTGGGAAACCCATACACGTACCCCGCACATCTATGTTATGTCTTTCTAGGTCCATACATAATAAGGTGCTTAAAGGCAGTTGCAATTCACTTTAGATGCAATATTACCATGTGTCAAGGGGAACATTGAGGATTTTGGAAAATATCACTACATTTAATTATGGCAATATTTTGTGAAAGTGAATTAAAAAGAAAACCACTATTTATTTAAATAAATGACACACTTATATTGTATATATTGCATTGTATGAAAGTGGTGGTGTGAGTGTTTTACTGTGACAGCTTTTGTGGAAATGTAATTAAAAATAGCAAAGTCCCAATATATGGGAATGTAAACCTTGGATCATGATACTTATTGTATCTCCATATTCTTGCATATACAGCAAGAGGAAAAATTATCAATATTTTTAATGAAATATGATTGCAACAGAAGCAGAGAAACAGAGATGGTGTTGCTGAGATGGTAAATCAGCCTTTAGTGTCAGCAATGACATGAACAATGTTCAGTCACACACATGCTTTATGGTGATGACATTAGAGCCACAATATCAGTGACTAATGGACATGGAGAACCCTTGCTGTCCATTCTACCAAAACAACTCACCCTCCTCTGTCGGTGTGTAGATGTTCAAATACAAACAGTCCTCGCTCTGATCCTGAATGTATGTGGCCACCGTGTCCAGGTTATAGGTGAACCATATGGGCATCATGATCTCTGGCACCGTGTTGTGGATGTTTTGAGGGCACACAGGCATGAAGTGGGTAGCATTTCTGATACCGGACCAAGAAGAGGGCTGGTCTGGGGGCATGAAACGCTTCTCCCCAACAGGTGGAGCAGCATAGGGAACCCCCAGATACTGATCAACGGGCCTTAGAACCTCGCTGGGCACAGGAACCCGGAGGCCTCGCAGTTTTCCAAACTGGGTGGTCACAGTTGGGTAGAATTTCTGGCTGGTTGCCTTGGTGAGTGACCAGCAGGAACATAGTATCCACCAGAGAAGAGCACAATGGGTGATGGTTACAGTCCCTTGATGATGGAGAAGGTGTGAAGGCAACAGATGGTCTCTAAATGTAGCCAGCCACATGGTCTGGGCCGGACAGTGCCCTTCACAGCACAAATGCACACTGTAGTGTCCACTCAGTCCGTCTGTGTTGACCCCGTCAAACAGACATCACTCACTGAGCCTCTGGTTCAGAGGGTTATCAAATCCAAATACACCTCAGCCAGGTAAGAACTCTTGGAACCTCCACTTTTCATTGCAGTGTACACAAATCTGAAAAGAGATAATCAGAAAAGGACAAGAGTTAAATGTAGAACTTAAATTTAAAAAAAAAGAAAGTCGTACTTGTGTTATTGACCAACTTTTAGCAGCAGTAGGAGAAAAAAAAAAAGTTTATCATTTCATAAAGTATTTTGTTACATCCTCTTAAATTATACAGTACACTTGTATTATATTGATGCAAATCTTATCTTCTCTTATATTGTATCACAACGCATTGTCCTGTGTCGAGTCGTATAGCATCGTTTCATATCGTGCTATTGTAATGAACTGCACTGACTCTAATAAGGCATTATATTAAAGCCAATCAAATTATATTAATCTTTCTGAACCGTATTGTACTTATTTAATATCATATGGTATCCCATTGTTTTGTGTAGCATTGTATGGTATGGTATCATGTTGTGGTATCTTGCACAGTGTTGTACCCAATACTATATTGAATTTGATCAAACTGTATCGTATTATTTATTTTTTCTCGTATCTGGATGTATTGTATTGTATCTTATCATTTCAAATATGCTCTCTCTTCATCCTAGGACTCTTTAAATATAGTTTCATTTAAACTTGATATCAGTTTGCCTCATCCTCTAATGCAAATAACATTTTGCAACAAATTGCTTTCTTAAAGGAGCAGATATATGCTTTGAAATGTATAATCGCTGAATACTGATCTCTGTGTTCATCAGTGGGGGAGGCAATGAGCAGAATTGGACAAATCCATCTGCTGTGATGTTGAAGTGATGTTGCGAAAGCATCTCAAGATAAAAGGTGTTAAGCACCCCTTTTCTTATGTAAAGGCAACAAAGTGAAGTGAGCATAGCCACAGACTGACACATCTTTAATATGCACTGACTATAGAAATTAGAAAGGACCACACAGAAAAAGAAACATCTTATCCGACTGTGATGTGTCAGTGTTTATTATGTTTCAAAAAACACCAAATATCTCACATCATGAATAATGTTGGCTTCTTTAGTGTGTCTTTCATCTCAGCAACACTGCCAGCTACTGAGAATAAGATGCAAAATGGAAGTGTCTTTGAACAGACATGTCTGATGGGACCACACATGCTCAGCCCCCTGTCTTAAAAAGCCCAGTAATTGCAGGTTAATTGAAAGACTTGACGAAGGCTTCTAGGTAGTGAGAGAATTCAATATCAGATGAAAAGAATTATTTCCTCCTTGTTAAGAATGATATTTGTTTTATTCTTGACTACTGCATACCATTCTTTTACTTCTACAAACGGTTATCTTTTGAAAAAAGGAGGGAGGTGTGGTTTACTGATCAAGGTTGTTTCTAAGCGAGATATTCCTTTTTCTTGGATCTGTAAGGTAAATGTGAGCACAACCACGGAGAATTACAAGGAGGGAACTGTGTTGTCCTTCTTCCAATCAGCTTCTTCGTAATCCAAAAATGCATCCTGCCTTCATCCTCATAGACTAAGATAGTGGTTAGCATAATAAGCTCAACATCAGGATCTCACTGGCTCGTCAATGAACAAAGCAAAAACAAGCTTGTCAACCTAATCAAACTTATTGACGAGTACCGCCTCCAGGATTGTGAGAGACTGCAGCTAAATAGCTTTCTCTTCAAGTGTGATGAAGCTACAGTAGCTATTAAGTCAGGGGACAATTTCTTCCCTCCTAATATGAGAAGCTAATTAGCCATAGATGTGATGCATTGGCTTTTCTAAGTCCCTGCAGCTGAAAGTTTACACTAGCAGCAAAATAAACACAAAAAATAAAGGCAACTCTTGTCCTCTTTCACAGGTGTGCATTAGCACATTAGCTGATACGACATCATCACAGTTTGGCCTTATAAAAAAAGGGGGACAAATCAAAGTAATATCACACAAGATCATTTTAGACATATTGTATATCTCTGCCCGGCTTTGTCTGCATTAATTAACATTTATAAATGCTCCCCATAGCCAGAAGAGGCCCAAACTTGTTCCAATCCTATATCTGTTATGTGACAATGATGAATGACTCCCAAGACATTAAAATGGAAAAGATAAAGAACCAGTTCTTTTTTTTTTCTTTGTACAGTGTAGATCAGGACACATCTTCTGGTTTGGGGCTGACACTGATAATAAATCATCTAGAGGGGGAAAAATCCTCTCTTTTCACACAAAACCTGCTGTGGAGTCATTAGAAGTTTAAGGTTTTTTATTTTGTTATTGTGTCATAGATACATACATATAAGCCCCAGTTCACATATTGGATTTACATGACACCATGAATTTAAACGTTCCAGGATCAGAGTGCATAGTCGGTTACAATAAATCATTGCCATGGAAGAAAAGGAAGAAAATGAATACAACATCACCTCAAATTAAACAGACTATCTTGTTTTCTTTTCCATGCTTGACAAAATCAACAAGCTTAAACACATCAAACTTAAACAGCCATTCCAGGATGTGCTCACGGGGCCACCACAATATTTCAGGCTTTTGGCGAGCTATTTCATGAAACAATAACTCTCTCAGGTCGTCGAATTTTGTACAGAGCAAAAGAAAATGGGAATCAGTTTCCACTTCATCCAACACTGGTGTCTCCAGTGTGCCCTAGTAGACAAAATGTGATAAAGTGCCCTCCAAGGTGCCCTTCCAGTGGCCAAAAAAAGAGTTAACGTTTCCTCCAGGGTGCTCCTCCAGGAATATAATTTAAAAAAACATTGAATCTTAACAAACATTTCTAACTATTTCCCGATAAATGATGCCTTATTACCCCACTGCTAGAGCAGGTGCCCTTTTTTGATTTTTTAATTTTTGCCCCTGCAGTTCAAACATTCTGAGTCTGCCAGTGATTCAAGATATACAGCATATCAACCTCCTCAAAAATTGAGTTAGGCTATTTATACTGCTTCACATAAACACTCATGTTTATTCTGTCCTCTATAGTCAATTCCACAATCGAATCAGTTCACATTTTAGAAATAATCAAATTTCTCATTCTGCTGTATAGAATAATGTTCTTATTAGACATTTTCCTCTAAATTATACATTGATTCTTTATATTGGCCTAAATGTATTTATGCTTTTTTGCTATCAAATCAAACCACTTGTTTAAATAGTCGAAAAGGTTTCAGGGCTATGCATGGTAAACAGCACCTTCATTTTGTTTTACAGATCCTTGTGCAGATTGTCACAGACTAAATCTTGGCTACAGAGTGTTCTTTTTTTTTTTTTTTTTTTTAAACTTGTGCTCAGGGATGGGACAGATGTGGATAAAACATTTTATCTTACACCAAATGAGCAATGTAATGAACGTAAGCTTATCAATCAGTCAAGTTAGATTCCCTACAAGTTTTTGTGTAATTTCACAACAGGAGAAAAGAACAGCAGCAGCTACAGGAAAGACGAAGCTATTTCTTGCCTATTACATGCATCAAATCAATATCTGAGTATAAAAATACCAAAAAACCATTGCATGTCATTAATGTGCTATTTTGCAGCAGGTGTTTATGCATCAATGGTGGGTTACTTGGGACTCTTAATACTTTAATTCCCATTTGACTGACTGGATCCTAATTGCAGCCCTATTAGAATGATTGCTATAATCATGTTCCTCTCCCACCATTACAATCGCTACACCTCCATCACTGACAGGCACACAACTCAACACCAATTCAGCACTAATAAAAATCTCTGGGACAACATCATATCGATTATTTTCTTGTAGCCCGGGGCCCTTAAAATGAAAGCATTTTTGAGAAGGAGCCTGGCATGTCAAACAACAGAGCTGGGTTCCTGATGCCCTTGTAATTCGACTGTGGTAAGGATCAAAACCGTTTTACCGGATTCCCCAAATCCCCCCTAATTTAGCTGAGAAATAATCAAGACCAGGGCTTGATGCAGGGGAGAATACCTTATAGCGAACATGCAGGTAGCGCTCAACATATGGATCGGTGTTTTATAAATGAATGCATGCAGACTCACAGTGAAAAGCAAGCCACAGCCCCGATAGCATCGACAAACTGCTGTAGTGTGTGTGTGCAGCGAGGAGCTTGTTTAATCTAGGTCTAGGACAGGGGAAATAAAAAAAATAAATTGGGGGGGAAATAGCGATCTACCAAATGATAGGCTACAGCAAGGTTTATCATCTAGAATCGACATGGGTGAAATAATTGTAGAGGGTGTAAGTGATCAATCCAAACAAATATCGTAAAGTAAAAAAATAAAAAATAAAAAATAGCCTACACGCACACACGTAATCATTAGGTTAACTCACCTGCTTTTACAGAAGCTGATAATACGCGCTCCATCTCGAGATTTCCTCCATACCATGCCCGTCACTCTCGCTTCCTGAGACAATGTGGCTGTGTGTGAAATGTTCCCCCCCCCTCTGTTCCAGTATCAAACACACAGATCTGTACTCTTATCTCTCCTGCTTTGCACACACAGTCTGTGTGCTTTGCGCATTCACGACGCCAAGGTCAGGAGCGCCAACGGTTTTAATGGAGCGCCCACCACACAGATCTCTGTACGGCGCCCACTGCCAGCGCGTTACTAGGCAACCACCGGGATACGCCAGTGCATTAAATTCACCCTCCAACAACCGACAAAATCCCAATTTAGAAACCATTAAGTAACCACCTTAACCTCGGACAGCTCTCACGCGCTCACAACGCTTTGTGCTCGGGCATCTACCTTTGACCAGATAAACGAGTGAGGCTCTTAAAGAAGAGAGCTGCGAGGATAGAGACGGTGCTTTCAGAACATCTAATTAACATGGGTCTTCTGCTGCTCGATGGGATAAGGAAATCAAGCCTCTGCAACCGTTCTCCTTTATGTTTTCCAGTCTAAGTCTAATAAATAGCCTTCAAATGTACTAATCAGACCTCCTGTTGTGATGGCAATTGTAACAAAAAAACTACCAGCTCTGTAACATCAAGCTCACATAGCCTAATCAATTGAATAGCATCCCCTGTAATGTAAACTTCAAATTATATGCATTACAAGGTTTGAGGAAATGAGTGCATGACAGGGTGAAAGGTGCTCCTCTTTCAAATTTCCTATACTGAAAATCACTAGTAGCCTATCTTCTCCTGTAGCTTTCTATGTTCTTATGTAAGTATCTTATCAAGAGTCCAGAAAGTTGCTGACACAACAAATCCCCCCCCCCCCACCACATATGCTTTTATATCATGCCTGATGGCTATAGCTGCACAGCTGTGATTTGTGCGTTTATAGAGCTGAGGGATCAACCTAGGAGAGATGCTGCCTATTGGCCTGTTTCAAGCTGGGCTGCAAAAGCAAAATAAGCTTAGAATTGATGACTTTATCAAGTGACAAATTACAGTGTAAAATATAAGGATCACATTTTTACAGTAATAATATATAGACATGTAAATGCAGAGCGATTATTATAAGAATGCTGGCCACCTCTGCTGGGCTTGCCATTTATTTTGTGTGTAGGAAATGTATTTTTGTGTGCTGAACTTATCAGCATTTTCCTGAAGGTATGTGAAGAGTTCAACAACAAACACATTCCTAAAGGAAGACACTTAATTTTACAGTCAAGATATTTTGCAGTCATGGGCACTTTGAGTGCACAGCTGAGTCTGCTTGATTAGGGACAAAAAGACAAAGCAGCTTCCGTTGCCGGTGTGCGAAGATATAGTGTCCTTAAAGGACGCTATGAGAAATATCTATATTCTTTTTCATTACTGAAGATTCATATCTTTGCTGAGCTGTTGTACTCGAAAGGACTGTTGCCATGGTGCCTTGGACATTGAAATACCAAGCAAGGCACCAAATATTTTATTCATGTGTGTTTTCCTGATCAACAAAAAATCTGAGGAGGCTAATGTGTGTTGTCAGGGATCTGTGTGCCAGGCTTCTCAGTTTCTTTTACCAGCCTGACTAGTTCTTCACTGGTTTGGGCATCTGATAAGAATTCCTTCCAGGCACATCCAACTGGGAGGAGACCCTGGGGCAGACGAGAACACACTGAAGGGATTACATATCACATGAGACCTGGGACATCCTCGGAATCCCCCAGGAAGAGCTGAGTTTAATTTTTAACAACAATTCACAATCCTCCTTCAATCTTCCACCAACTGTTTTCCAAATGGCCTTTTTTTTTCAGTAAATGTTTCAAGAACTAGGCAGTGAACTTACACCTTGATTAGCTCTCAAGTATTCTTCAAAGAAATAGAGCTGCATCTTAATTCTGCCCTCTTTCTAATAAGGGTCAGTATTGTCTCTTTTTTCTCTCTATTCTCTATTCCCCGTGGCCCCTTCCGATCCCTCTCTTCCTGTGCTTTGTTCTTCGGGACCTGCTGCAGTGCATGTCGAGTGCTGAAGGAGTCTTTACCAAACTGCCCAAATAATGCAAAGCAGTTCCAATGTTATCCTAACACAACCAATTCAATGAATGTGTCTCATATTGTCACACACTAGCAATATGATGTGAAACTTTATGTAAATACATTTAAAAAAAACGCTGTCTTATTTCTTCAAAGATTTAATTAGATAAAATAAAACTTTAATGAAACCCAGGGGAAAGTGGGTCATGGCAGAAGAGAGAACATTATACATTCTAGGTGCTACAAAAACAGTTGCTGATGATACAGAGGAAATAGGATACATGAAAATACTTTGGATTGAGCCTCATTGAGCATACTAAATAGTGAATACTGCAAGTGCCATTCCTAAAACAAGCAAGGCTATGTTTGCAGTTCATAGATGTACAGGACAGATGTATTGCATACCAAATGTGCATTA